GTGCGGAGGCGGGCCGCGCGAGCGCCGCGCTCATTACTATGAATGACAGCGCGCGCCCCTCTCATTAATTATGCGGGATGGGCGTGGCCTCCGCGGCCCTTCAAAGTGTGGGAAGATGGCGGCGGCGGCGGCGGGCGCTGGCGGCCGGGCCGCGCTGCGGGGGCGGCGGCGGCGGGGGCGGCCCGCGGCCGAGGAGGAGCAGGACGGGGTGGTGCTGGCGGTGGCGGAGTGCCCGGTGTGCCGGCAGGCGCTGGCGGAGGCGGTGACGGTGACGCCGCCCTGCCGCCACTCGCTCTGCCTCGCCTGCTCGCAGCGCTGCCTGCAGGGCCCGGGCCTGTGCTGCCCGCTGTGCCGCAGCCGCCTCTCCACACGGGCCCGGCGGCAGCAGGCCGAGCCCGCAGCCAGCACGGCGGCCGGAGGAGGAGGCGGGGAGCAGCGGCCGCCGGACCAAGGTGCGGCGGCGGCACCTGCGCCCCCCCATCGGCGGGGCGGGGGCGCGGGGGCCGGGGCGTGGCCCGGGGCGCGAGGAGTGCGCGGGGCTCAGCCCCGGGCGCGGCCACGCGCGGGGCGGGCGGGGGTGCGCGGGGGCTCGGACCGCGGGAGGCGGCGCCGCTCGCCAGAAGTGCGACGAGTTTGCGGGGCTCAGACGGGCCGGAGGGTGGGGGGGATCCAGACACGGGAGGTGTGATGAGTTTGCGGAGGCTCGGCCCCCAGGGGGGTGTGGCCAGCGCGGGAGGGGGCGGCAGCGCGGCAGGTGCGATGAGTTCCTGGGGGCTCAGGCCCGCCCCGAGCCCAGCGGAGCCAAGCGTGGGAGGTGCGATGAGTTCGCGGGGACTCAGACAGGGGTCGAGCAGGAGGAGTGATGAGTTTTACCAGGAATCAGCTACCCCGAGTCCTGCAGGGCCGTGCCCCGTCGGGGCCCAGACCCCGTGGGGCGTGGCCAGTGCAGGGGGCAGGGGGGGCGATGAGTTTGCGGGTGCTCAGGTGTCGTTCCCTCCTCCCCTTCTTCCCCCCCCCCCGCCGTGTCCTGCGGGGCCAAACGCGGAAGGTGCGATGAGTTTGTGGGGACTCAGCCGTCTCTCTCCCTCCCACCCCCCGAATCCTGCGGGACCGAGCAGTGAGGGGGCGGCGGGGCTGAGCCCACCCCTCCTCTGTGGCGTCAGGAGATGGAGTGGATGGATGGCGTAATCCCTGGAAGGGATGCCCGGACGGGGGGGATATTTCCCCACTCTGCTGTGCCCAGATCAGCAGCTCTACGCTCTGAGTGCCCATCGGGTCCCCTCACCCTGGAAGGCCCTGGAAGGATGCGCCATGGGAAGTCCTGCTCCCTTGCTGGCATAAAATAATCCATCGTTCCTGAGTTCCTGGCTTCTTGTCACGCGTTTCCTTCCTGCCTCTAAAGCCAGCTGCCTTCCTCAACTCCTGGAAAACCGCTCCCTGCGTTTCCTTCAAAATCCTTGTCTGAGCCGGCGGTGTTCTTCTTTCCCAGTGGGAGCTGCTGGAGATGCCCACCTTGCTGCTGTGAGCTCTTGGAATGTGCCAGGATCTCTTAGTTGGGGAGGTGATGCAGAGATCGACCACCCAGAAGCCGTGCCAGGGGGGAGCCCTCTGGAACAGACAAGGATTTAAGCTACGGATAAACATCCTTTTAGCTGGACCCGGAGCATGTTCCTGGTCTCCCAGTTCGTGCTTGTGTCAGCATCCTCTAATTGGCTGCGGGAAGAATTGGCAGGACGAGCTTAAACAGCTTAAATTGGTGGTTTGAACTAACCCCGCTAACCTGGAAGAGATTTAAGGAGCCTTTGCCTGGAAGGATTTGCAGAATCAATGAACAGCCGGGCTGTCCAGAGGGAGCTGAGCCAAAGGGATGGGAGTGGTTCCTCTGGGAACTCCCCAAGTCAATCTCTGCTCCGAGGCAGTGCTGTCAGTCCTGCTTAAATGGACTCGGCTTGGTCCAGGCAGGCTTGGATGGGAGTATCCAGCTATCCTGCAGGAATGCTTGTGCAGTATCTTGGTTGGTTTTCTTTAAAAGGAATTAGTTTTAATTCTCTGCTTGTCCTGAATTGTGTGTGGGATAAGGGGGAATGGCTTTCTTCTGCCAGAGGGCAGGGTTAGATGAGATATTGGGATGAAATCCTTCCCTGTGAGGTTATTGAGGCTTGGCACAGGCTGCCCAGAGAAGCTGTGGCTGCCCCATTCCTGGAAGTGTTCAAGGAGCAACATGGTCTAGGGGAAAGTGTCCCTGCCTATGGCACTGGATTGGAACATGATGAGCTTTATGGTCCTTTCCAATCCAAACCATTCCATGACTATATTTTGCAATAAGGCACAGAGTAATTGTCTTGGTTGTCATTTTCTTGTGCTCCAAGTTGTGCTCGTAGTGTGGGAATCAAAGGCAGATGATCCATTGCAAACAGGGACCTCCCCTTGCAGGGAGAGAGCAGTCAAAGTGGTTTATCCTTGCATTAGTGAGGCTGATGGAGGATCCCAGCATGGCAGGGAGAGCCAAGCCCTGCTCAAAGCAGGGTCTCCAGGAATGTGTCCAGGTGGGTTAGTACCATCTCCAAGAGACTCTGTGGCCTCCCTGGACAACCAGTACCAGTGCTTGACCACCCTGACAGTAAAAAAGTGATTTTTCTATGTTCAATGAACTTCTTTTATTTTAATTTGTGCCCATTTCCTCCTGTTCTGTTACCACAGAGAAGAGCCTGGCTCTGTCTTCTCCACTTGTCATTTAAAGCATTGGTGAGATCCCTCTGAGCTTTCTTCTTTTTCTGTGAGGGTGACTAAGCACCAGCACGAGTTTGCCAGGTGGAGTTTCCATCCTGGACATGGACCTGGCCAGCCTGCTCCTGGTGACCCTGCTTGAGCAGAAGGGTTACGTGCCCAGAGGTCTTTGCTAACCTGAATTATTCTGTGAATTCTGTTATGAAACACCCATTAAGCTTATATTAAAACAGTTGCTTGTTGAAAGTCTTGGAAGGCAGAAAGGAGCAGCAGATGGGAGGCTGGGAGACCACATATGTGTGTGTGAGGATTCAGCAGGCCAAGGAGAAGGAACAGAACATGTTTGCAGGGAGGTGCTCAGCCAGATTTTTAACAAAATAAGTACATTCACATTTCATAGAGTCAGAGAATTGTTTAGGTTGGAAAAGCCCTTCAAGACCATTGAGTGCAATCGTTCCCCAGCACTGCCACGGCCACCACTAACCCATGTCCCCAGGTGCCACATCCACACAGGTTTTAAATCCCTCCAGCCTGTTCCAATGCCTGACCACCCTTTCAGTGAAGAAATTTTGCCGAATATCCAACCTAAGCCTCCCTGGCACAACTTGAGGCCACTTCCAAGGAGATGGAATATCTTATTAATAAAGAAAAAAGAAAAGAGGCTCGTGAAGAAGGACAAACAGATGAGATTGTGGCTGTGTCTTCTCAGCAGGCACAAGGCCAAACTTCAGGATCAGATCCCCATCTGCACTGATAGATTTCTGCATGTCAATTCTGACATTACCATCTCAGATTATAGATGATGTCAAGAGAGCTTGGAAGATTGCTGAAGAACAAATGTTCCCTCATGAACTGGGAAACAGAAATGCAGTTTTCTAAGGAAAGGGCTTGATAAGATGGTCTAGAGCTTTAGACTGCTAAAATGAAAGTGGCCTAGGAGCGAGAGAATAAATAATCATAAATCAACCTGGATGGTTTGGGTTGGAAGGGATCTCAATGCACATCCAGTTCCACCCCCCTGCTGTGGACAGGGACACCTTCCACTAGACCACATTGCTCCAGCCTGGCCTTGAACACTTCCAGGGATGGGGCAGCCACAGCTGCTCTTAGCAACCTGTGCCAGGGCCTTCCCACCCTCATAGGGAAGAATTCTTTCCCAATATCCCAATCTAACCCTGCCCTCTGGCAGTTGGAAGCTGCTATTCCCCCTTGTCCTGTCACTTAGTGACGATCCATGTGGGTCCCTTCCAACTCATGTAGAAAGTCACTCCCCTTCTTTTTTTACAAACTTTCTTTAAGTGCTGAGGGGCTGCAATAAGTGACTGGGTATGTAACAGACCCCCAGGTGTTTTTGGAAGGGACAGGGAAATTCTGCTCCCTGTGCTGAGGTAGGACTGGGTGTACCCAAACCATTCCTCACAGACATCCCAAGTCTCTCATCTGAACACAGACAGCAGGATGGGATCCCACCTTTGCTTCAGCCTCTGAACACTTGGAAAACTTTCCCTAATGTCTAATCGAAATCTCCCTTATTACAAAGGCAGCTGATTTCTTTTGTTTCTCTTTTGCACTACAATTAATAACTGATGCTCACAGAAGAGTGTTTTTGCCAAACTTTTAACATGACTTCCCCCTCCTTCCTCACAGTCTTTTTTTGGCTGTGGTTTCCCTCTTTCCCCACTGGCCCGGACCAGTCTAGTTCTGGAGCATTTCCTGGTGATTCCTTAATTTCCTGTTGTTTCTGTTGTTCTCTAGTCTGTCACCAGTTGTTTTTTATCTCAAGGCCACAGTGTTTGGAAGTGGCAATCCCGATGAACAAGGCAATCCCTGCCTTGGGAAAAGCAGTGATTTGCCCCCCTTTCCCCCCCATATCAAACTGATTAAAGACAACACCACTTCTTTTTTTAATCTACCATTCAAGCTGTTAATGAAGAGAATGATTAGGGCCAGACGCCATGGCCAGTGTGAGAGGCTCTCCTAGCATGGCAGTGGATCGTTAGCTCCTGGAAAATAATTTTCCAGCTAGTTGTGCCTCCATCTGAATAGTGCTTATACCTACAATAGGGGTTTTTTTCCTCACTGTGCTTCTAAATGTTTTTTAAATGTTCTTCCCAATTAAAACAACAAAATACTGGCTCTGTGGAGACCTTAGAGCCCCTTCCAGAGCCTGAAGGGGCTTCCAAGAGGGTTGGAGAGGGACTTTGGACAAGGGCCTGGAGTGCCAGGACAAGGGGGAATGGCTTACCAGAGGGGGGAGGGTTAGATGGGATATTGGGAAAGAATTCTTCCCTGTGGGGGTGGTGAGGCCCTGGGCACGGATTGCCCAGAGAAGTTGTGGGTGCCCCATCCCTGGAAGTGTTAGAGGCCATGTTTGGAGCAACGTGGTCTCGTGGAAGGTGTCCCTGCCCATGGCAGGGAGTGGAACTGGATGGGCTTTAAGTCCCTCCCAATCTCAACCATTCCATAATTCTATGCAAATCTGTTGGGAAGCTTTATCTCAGCTGTTGGCATATCTTCATATCATTTAATTAAACTGCTCCTCTTGGAAAACTGTTTCCAAACCTCTCTGCACTCACAAAACTTCTTGGTTTGTATTTCGAAAACATTTTAAAATTTCACCTTCAGCTGCAAGTATAAACACTCACTGACTGCTGGGAGGGGAAAATAGTGAAAACCTCAAGGGTTTTTTATCCCTGCCAGGAGGAAAGGGGAGAAGGAAGCTACAACGTCTACTGGAAGTTCCCTTGGAAGCTGGGGTTGAGGAAATTTGCTCCTGCTCATGGCACAGTTTTGACTTGCCGGATGGAATCAGATTGGCAAAACTCAGGAGCCTCTGAATGACAGACAGGCCTCTGAGTCGAGTTCAGCTTTACTTTTATCCAGCCCCTGGTGCTGAATTCGCCAGATGGAGGTTTCTGGATCTTTTGCCAGTAAATATAAAATGTGCTGGTCGGGAGTGTGGCTCCACGGAGATGGTGTGTAAGGCACACTTCCAACCTGGAAAGGATGGAGTCAGAGGGGATTTAGGCTGTCAGATGCCTCTTATAAAGAAAACCAGCATTAAATAATTAGAAAATCTGTTGTCCTCTCAAATAGTGCAGAAATCAATTGTTTTTTCCAAGGCTGAGCACAGCGGAATGAAACTCTTGTCTGCCAGGATAAAAGAGCAGGATGCCAGGTCTGATCCTGTTTTGGTGCTCTTACCTGGGCTTGGAAGGAGCATCCCAGTGCCAGCCTTCCCGGCAGCCCTTCAGAAAACATTTCTGTTGGCCCACAGATCACTTGAGAGGAAGACCAAGCAGGAGATCTGCTGCAAAATCGCGTGAAAAGCCTTTTCTTCCATGTTTTTGCCCATTTTGTTGCTCTCTGTGGCACAGCTGAGCAGCCTTGTCCTGGCCCTGAACATCCAGGACTGGCACAGTGAGGTATTCCAGGGAAACACGTGTGGTGCTCTGGTCATCTTGCTGTCCTTCCTGGCCGCATCCCAGTGTGAGGACTGGTGTGGTTCCACCTGGAGTGGTTCTGATGGCCAGGAAGTTCTACCTGAAGATGAGGAAGAACTTCCTTCCTATGTGGGTGACCATGCACAGGAACAGATTATCCAGAGGGGATGTGGAGTCTCCCTCACTGGAAATATTCCAGAACTCTCTGGACACAATCCTATGCCATGTGCTCTGGGATGACCCTCCTTGAGCAGGGAAGTGGGACCAGATGATCCACTGTGGTCCCTTCCAACCTGACCCGTTCTGGGATTCTGTGGAGTGCAGATATATAGCTATGCATACATTTTTGATTCCATCTCTTCTACAGAGTTGGACCCAACTATAAAATATTCAAGTTGGTTCATAAAGACACTATGGACAAAATTGCCTCCCTTGAGCTAAACCAGCACAACTTTACAAATAAGTGTTATCCCACTATTAAAAATCTCTTCTGGCTTGCTGAACCCATGTGAGCAATGAGACAGTTGACGTGGCTCCTCTTTCCAGTTGTATGTTTCCCTGAAGGGGAAAAAATATCCACCTTTTTACCTCTGGAGATGAGGTCTGAGACAAGCCTTAACCATTGAGAAGTAGCTGAAGTTTGCTGCAGGGGAGTTAAATTCCTGTTGCTGTCAGGAGCATCCCAGTGGAAATTCAGCTTGATAAAGCTCACAAAGAGCTGGAAGTACTCAAGGACACAACTGGAAAAACATTTGGGGAAACCAGTGGAAAGTTTCCAGCATGGCTGGTTGCAGGAGCAAGGAATGCAGCCTGGCCTTCCCAGCACTACCTCTGCTTGGGATTTTCATCCCACATATTGGGACATTTGGGAAGTTCTCCTTTAAAAACAAGCCTGGCTCTCGTAGGCGTGCAAGGAGGAGGGAATAGCAGCTTTTTTATTTAAAAAAAAGTGCCTTATAATCTATATGCTTGATGTTTGCTTGCATGAGATTATTTTTCTCCTTTCTGAAGGGAGTATTAAAGAAATACTCTGTGATTTGTTCTGCATTCCCATCTCCAGAGGCTACAGAGTTTGAACTCGCCCTCAGTGGGAGGGACTCAAGTTACAGGAGTCTTCTGTAAGATAAAAGCAAACCAGTGGAAAGCAGGACAAGTGAAAACAGAATTTAGTGAGTGATTAAGTGGCATATGTGGGCACCAGGGCTGTGACCTGAACCCAGGGAGGAGGGAAATGTGGCCCTGAACCCGAGGATGCCCAGCAGGACAGTCAGCAACAGGTCACTGGGCGTTTGATTCACTCCCCCCGCTGTGAACCTTTCATTTTGGGCCAAGTGAAAGTGCTTCCTAAATAAAGGAAGTCCTGTGAGGAGTGGCTGAGGGAGCTCGGGGGTTTCAGCCTGGAGAAAAGGAGGGGCGTGGGGAACCTTTTTGCTCTGTCCAACTCCCTTGACAGGAGAGTAGAGCAAGGTGGGGGTAGGGAACAAGTGACAGGAGGAGAGGACACAGCCTCAAACTGCACCAGGGGAGGTTCATACTGGACATCAGGAGAAGTTTTTTCATGGAAGGGGTTTTTAAGCACTGGAAGGGGCTGCCCAGGGACGTGGTGGAGCCCCATCCTTGGAGGTGTTCAAGGAATGACTGGATGTGGCTCTCAGTGCTCTGGTCTGATTGACAAGGTGGGGACCAGTCACAGGTTGGATTCTTGGAGGTCTTTTCCAACCTAAATGTTCTGTGATTCTCTGAAAACGTGATGGAGCTGCTGGTTTATATCCTTTAATTTTAGCAAGCTGGAAGAAGGAAATACCCCTGATGTTTCCTCCATGCTCGTACCTGTTCCATCCTGACCACATCACATTAGGATGATGGGCTGTCCTGCTCCCTGCCTGGAATACTGATAGGGATTGAGCCAGGATGGTTGTCCAGGGCTTGTTTTGTTCTTGTTGTTCCCTTTTCCATCCAGGCTCCTCCAACGGTAGTGCAACTTGCCCAGACTTGCACTGCACAGAAGTGGGAGGGAGCTTTGTGGCCGACAGAAGGAAGGGAGTCCTTTGGGAATAACAGACTCCACGAGGTTAAACTGTAACCCCGTGCCAGTAGCCTTTTGGTTCCTGAATTCCCGAGGGGGAAGGGAGGAAGTGGGAGCAGGACGGGGAATTCCTGCCAGACAGAGAGAAATATTGACCTCGGGGAATGAATTGCAAGTGGAAAAAAAAAAGGCTGTGCTTGCTCCAGATCAGTGGGATAATGCTGCAAACAGCTGGAAGGGGATGTGGAGGAGAAAAAGCACTGTTTATCCAGAAAGTAGGTAGCATTCCCAATGCACTGGTGTCAGTGGAAGAAGGGCAGGGATGTGAATTGAGGGTGCTGTGCTGCAGCTGTCAGCCTGTGTGCTTTGGGTGTCTGGGAGTAGGAGCTTAAAGCCTGAGTTTATTCCTAGGCTTCAGATTCCCTGTGCTTAAAGCCTGGCTTTATTCCTGGGACTGAGATCCCCTGTGATATCACCAGGCTGTTACTTCACCTCTGTGTTTACATCATGCCAATACTCCTCTGATTGCTTAACTGCTTGTCAAGGACTCTTGAGAGTCTCCAAGGAAACTCTGGAAGTGCAAAGTAGGATTGCTTGGCCACCCTCCTCCTGATGTCCCTGCCTGTTAAACAGAGCTTTGATAGCAGTGGTGGAATATAAACATCTGGAGTTGGAAAAAGTGCTGCAGAACCTCTTGCACAGCCCATGGCGATCTCACACTTTTTGGGAAATACTGGCCAACACCATTATCCTGCACTAAAAAGTGTTTCCTTTCTTTTTTTCCCTTCTCTTTCCAGATTTTATATTCAGAGCACCCATTAAATTAAGCAAAGCAGGGGAACTCCGAGAAGAATATGAAAGCCAGCTAAGGAAGGTCAGTATTCTGGGTAATTGTGTGTTTTGTTCCAGGAGAACTTGGATTTCTTGCAGGAATGCTATCCTGTAGAGAAACCTGAAGGGCTCTTTATTCCTGCTCTGTGACAAAAGTCATTTATTCCCCTTATGCTGTTCAGCCACTTCAGGAAATGGCTGTAATTGAGCATTTAGAAACCAAATTTTGCTGTCTTAGTCTGTCTTCCAGAACATGGAAATGTACCTTCCTTGGAGCAACTGGTTGTGGATGTAATTCCATAAAGGCTTTTGCAGCATAAGGTATCTCCTGCAATAACATCCTTCTCCTCAGAAACAAACTATTCCAAACCAGAGCTTTCTGTTTATTTTTAGGCAAGGAAAAAATGTCATTTAAAGGTCAAAAAAATGATAAGGGAGGAAAAGCTTTTCAGCTGGTTTGCAGTTAAAGTCCATGAAAATATTTTCTCCATTTAAAAAGGGATTTTTGACTTCTGTGATGGTGTTTTCCCTTGAGATGGGTCTGGCCCCTCATTGGTTATTCTGCCTGCTGGGGAAAAGGATCCCAGGGGGCTCGTCATTGCTGAATTTTCTTTGGGTTTTCACTTGAAAATACCAACAGGGGTAGAAAGGGCTGTGGAGCTGAGTTAGAAAAACAGCCTTGTCTGAGGAGGAAAATTCTGTTTAGGTGATACTTAAGGTAAATAACTAGGCTGAGAAATGCATCTGAGTGAGGAGACAGTTGAAAAGTGTGGAAGGGCCTTCCCTCCTGCTTCCCCTCGAGTGGAATTAGCCATGGCACTGATGGGAAATGTCGCTGCAGGTTATTAGGGTAACTTTGGCTGACTGTTTCATTAACTGATCTCAAGCAGTTGCAGACTCTTCTCCCATCCAGGTGGCTTGGAAGGAAGGGAAGGAAACTTTGTGTGCAAAGCTGTGGGGCTTGTGGCATTTTCAGCAATGATGTTGAGGAGCAGCTGGGTTTGGGCAACAATGTCAGACTTTAAGTGCACAGGAATCTTACTGCTGTAAAAATATAATTAAGTAATTTAAATGTGCATCACTGTGTTTTTCACTGTGGTCTTTAAGATGAGTTGATTCAGGGCATCTTTGGCTTAAAGATGAAGAAATGAAGTTTTTTGTATAGGTATTAACAGATGATCTAAAGGTCCCTTCCAATGCCTTCAAGGAAGCTGTAGAGGGACTTTTCTTCAGGTACTAGTGACAAGACAAGAGGGAATGGCTTCCCACTACCAGAGAGCAGGATTAGATGGGATATTGAGAAGAAATTCCTCCCTGTGAGGGTGGTGAGCCCCTGGCACAGGTTGCCCAGAGCAGCTGTGGCTGCCCCAGCCCTGGAAGTGTTCAAGGCCAGGTTGGACAGGGTTTAGAGCAATGTGGTCTAGTGGAAGGTGTCCCTGCCCATGGCAAGGGGTGGAACTGGATGTGCTCTAAAGTCCTTTCCAACCCAAACCATTCAGGGATTCTGTGAGGCATATCTGGATCTTCTGGAAGGATTAAACCATCTTCTCTCCCATGATCTATAACCCTTTTATAGGAACATTGCTGAAAGATACTGCGTGCAGTCCCATGCCAACACCTCTACCTTCCCCATCAGTCACAAGGAAATGTTTTAACTTGTTTCTGGCATTTTGGGCCTGGTTCTGTCTCATTCCTGTTCAGCCTCCTGCCTTGCCCTTTCTGTCCCTTGCCAGATGAGAGATGAGTTTCCTTCCCCTGCCAACTTAAACCTGCTTTTTATGAAACTCAGCTGAAAGAGCTATGGGGGGAGAGATTCCCTGAATCGTCATCGAAGAGGAAACTGCAGTGCAATTTTGCTGATGAAATCACAACCGGTGCTGCAGTCACTCACTGTTTCCTCATTCATAGAATCACAGAATCATTTAGGTTGGAAAAGCCCTCTGAGATCATGGAGTCCAACCGTTCCCCAGCACTGCCAAGGCCACCACTAAATCGTGTTCCCAAGTGCCACATCCACACAGCTGTTAAATCCCTCCAGGGATGGGGATTCCTGTTCCAGTGCCTGACCAGCCTTTCAGGGAAGGAATTTTCCAATTTAAGCCTCTAGTGGTGCAGCTTGAGGACGTTTCCTCTCATGCCATCACTTGTTCTGTGGGAGAACAGACCAACCTCTCCAATCAGAGAGTTACAGAGGCAAAATTGGGACTGTTGTCACTTATCAAGGATTTCTCGGTGTCTCTGAACTGAATTAGGCAGGAGGAGAATTCAGGTCTGGGAATCTAAGCTTTTCCTGATGGGTATTCCCTCTGTGTCTGGAAGCAGAAGCTCTCATCTCAGCTCCCCCTGCCTGTGGAATGGGGATAAGCCAGGCTGGCTTTCCTGAGAAAGGGAGAGGAGCATTTCAAAACTCCTTTACTCATCCCAGTTGCGAGCTGTTTTCTAAATCTGGCAGTTTGTGAAGATCCCAAGTGTGCGTTTGCCAAACTTTTGGAAATAAATATTAATATCAGGAATGATGGTGTTTCTTGAACAGAAAATTACCACATGTTCAGCATTTTTTCCCTGCAGTTCCAGTACTCAAAACAGCTACAAACAAGTTAAAATGCATTTTCTGCTAATTGTGCTGCTAATTTTGCCGATGGTCTTGCATTCAGTATTCCGGAGATGCTACTTGGATAAACTTCTCCCAGGGTGGATGTTTCACACCACGTTGTTTCAGTTTCTGATCCTCACGTCCCAGCACATTTCTATGTGCTAGCATTTGTAAAGAAATTCTCTGGGAGATAATTTACACAAGGCTACTTAATTTTTTGGTTTTTAATTAGTATAGATTTTATCATTAGAGTTTGTGTGCAGCCTGAATTCTGGACCTAAATTCTGGTTTGTATCCCTTGATTAGGATCCTGTTGTTGTCTTTTTGACTGGTCACCGTCAGCAAAGATTGTGCTGGCACCTCATAGGCTGGGTTTGCCCAAAATCCTTAAATATTCCTGTATGATGTTACATATCCACAGAGGTTAGATGGGGGAAGGAGGGAGGCTGTTCTATTTACAGATATATGTAGACTATTCATGGCCTGTGTCTAAGTGCCTTTGTTGTCCTGAAAAGAAGATAAAATCCCTGCTATTTGTGTCAAAACCACAAATGTGTTGTAGAAACAAACCAATCTTCATGTTATTATGAGAGAGAGGCAGGAGCTCTGCCTTGAAGGCACAAAATTTAGTGCTGTGACCTGACTCTTGCTATTGCAAATTTGTGTGGAGGACTTCATATATTATAAATACTCTTTTTTCATTCTTTCCAGCTGAGAGAAGAAAAACTACAAGAAGAAAAGGCGTCTGAGGAGCTGATTCACAAGTTCATTGTAGATGACATGGATGTAGGGAAAAGAAAAACAGAGGAACAACAGAAAAAGGATGAATCTGTCGTGCTGAAAGTGAACCAAGAGTGTGTAAGTAAGCTCATGCTTCTGCTTCCTATCCACATATCCAGAGCTTTCATCCTTTGGCTTTCCAGGATGATTTGATTGACCCTTTATAGTCCCTGAAGGCTGTGAGCTAACAGATTATAAAGATCCATGTTGATTATGGCAGATGTTCTTCCAGAGGTTTCTGTCCCCCTTTTACCCACCAACACATGACTTCCAAACAGAGCAGATAAATCTCTGCTTTGGGAGGATCCTTGTGCACTTCCTTTAACACTTCCCCGTGAATCTTCTGCACGATTCTGAAGTTCAACACATCCTTCAGGCTGAGTCTTGGCTGTTTCCCATTTCAGTTGGGAGGCTCTGTAGGAAATGCTCTTACCATTTCAGTTTGATGGGCTGATCTGTGGGGGCTGAGTAATGAACACCCTGTAGTAATTTAACTGTAGGATTTTCTCACTTTTTCTTGATCAGTAGATAAGTTTATTCAATGACTACAAATAGGAGCTGTGTGCTTATTTTTGCATTATTTATGCTTTATGTCCTCTCGGTACAATCAGAAACTAGGGCTTTGGGGATCTTTAACACCTTTGCAAGAAAGAATTTTATTTTCCAAGTTATTTTCTTTGTTGTACATGTCAGTTAACTCTTCCTTGATTGACTTCAGTTTCCTGAACGGCTCTCGGATTCAGAGAATGAAGAACCATTCCAGGGCAAGCAAACTCATCGGTCGGCTTTTGTTTCCAAGACCTCCTTTGCTCTCCTTTCAGGGTAAGATGCTGAGACTTTATTCAGTGTCCCTTAAAGATGTTCTTTCAACTTGTTCTAAACACACCTGAGATGCTCTAATTCAAATGGTGGTTTCAATCCAAAATAAGTGATTTTTTTTTTTTCTGGAATTTTAGAGCAGGTTCATTGTTAGGACATGGTGTCCATCTGCTTACTTTCTGCCTGTTATAAAATCCAGGGGATCAAGGAATTTAGTGTTCACCCCATGAAGCAGAAGAATCATTGCCTGTAGATTTAAATCATTAGTCAGAAATCAAAGTCCTGTGGGATGAACTCAGGAGTGCTGGATCCTTCTCCAGCACAGACATGAAGAGAGACCATCAGTCCCAGACAGCTTTTTCCCTAGAAAGCTGTTGCTTGACCTAGTGGAAGCAGCTGAGTAACCAAGTGTGTTTCCACATGAGAAGCAAAGGGGTTTCCACAGCTTCATCATTAGCTCTGACCTCAGTAAATTATGAGCCGTGGGTGGAGGTGTCCATATGTTTAGTGGGGAGCCCATGAACACAATCTAAAATTCTTGGATCCCTTTCCCAGAGGGCATAGGAGGTATCTCTTACAGTCAGGTGCTGCCAAGGCTGATGCCTCTCCCAACAGCTGCCAGGGCTGTTGAGCTGGTTGTCCTTAAGGCCATGAACAATCCCGTTCCACCCATCTGCTTTCCAGGAATTTAACCGCCAAGCTGGAGAGGAGTCGGAGCTGCAACGACACCATTCAGGAGAGATCCAAGAGCAGGCAGAGATCAGCCCCAGCCAACAAAGCAAAGGTACAGGCAGCGTCTGGGAACAGGTTGTTGTATGTAAATGTCCTTATCTGAGGTTACGCAGCACCAGTAATCTGCAGATATGAAACATGGCGTTTGTGGTGCTGCGTTATTGCCCTGGGGCCAGTCACTTCCCAGTAAAAACCTGATGGGTTGGGAATTGCTGAGCAGAAAAGCAGACAGGTGACAGAGTTATTGGAGGCTAATTGGGAGGATTGTCCTTAGCCTTTTGTTTTGTGATTCATTTTCTTTTCAAGGCTGAATCTGCAGCCAATTAAAGAAAAATCTTACAGAAGTTTAGGAAAATAATCCTTTCTTCCTTTCCCTTTCTCTTCAAAGCTCTTTAAACAGAGCAAAGCTTGTTTATTTGTTTTCCTGATGTCAGGATATGTTCTTTGGCACTTCCATGCTATGGGAAGAGATTCATAAGATCGTAGAATGGTTTGGGTTGGATGGGACCTTAAAGCTCATCCAGTTCCAGTCCCCTGGCATGGGAAGGGTCACCTTCTAGGTGCTCCAAGCCCCATCCAGCCTCATTGGAGTGAGATGATCTTCAAGGTCCCTTCCAAACCAAACCATCCCGTGATTTTGCCATTGGAGGGGTTGCCCTGCTCTTGCACTGACATAACTTCAGACCCAAATCATGCTGGATCTGGTGTGTCCTGCTCGTGCCCCATATTGAGCATGGAAGGTGCTGTGCCCAGAGATCACAGTAACCTCGGGCTCTCCTGTTTCCCTCTCACATTCTTGTCCTTCTCCTCTCCGTGACCAATATCCCGGGTGTTCTGCCTTGCCTTTCAGGTGCTGCCCGTGACTGGCACATCGACACCGCTGATCGGGGTCCTGTCATCCACGCAGAACAACCGCTGCCTCTCGGCCCCGGACCTGACGGCAGAGAAGCGCCTGGTCCTCACCGCTGTGTCGTCCCTCTCGGCCCTGCACAAGCCAGAGCGGTCCATCAGCCCCGAGAGCAACGACAGCATCTCTGAGGAGCTCAACCACTTCAAGCCCATCGTCTGCTCCCCGTGTACTCCTCCGAAGAGGCTTCCCGACGGCAGAGTCCTGAGCCCTCTCATCATCAAATCCACCCCGAGGAACCTGAACCGGAGCCTGCAGAAGCCAACCACCTACGAGGCCAGTCCTAGGATACTGAAAAAATGGGAGCAGATATTTCAGGAGCGTCAGATCAAAAAGACTCTCTCTAAAGCGACCCTCACATCCCTGGCCTCAGAGCCCGTGGAAGACGTTACGGTTCCTGACATCACCAACTCCAGCACTTACACTAAAGAGCAGCCACAAGTGCAGGATGACCACCTTCCACCTGACACAGTGGGAGAGCCTCACCCCAAGCTGGATTCCTTCCCTTCCATCAGTGAAATGAAGCTGGGAAGAGGGAGCGACAAGAACAAGGGTTCACAGGCCTTAACAACAGATGACAGCGCTGCCGAAGCAGATGTGAGATCAAATGTAACCTCCTCGAACACACGAGTGTCTGAAGGCCCTGACCTAAAACTCGTGGACAAATCCTGTCTTGGTCTTGGCCCGAAAATGCTGAGCGTGGGCGTTGGCACGACGCTGCCCGACAGCAGCACGCTCGGAGTCCCCGCCAAGGCGCCGGCGAAAAAGCAGCTGAAGTACCTGAACAACAGCAAGCTGATGAACGTGCAGAACAGCACCTGCAATTCCGTCGGGAACATCATCACGGAGCAGCCGCCGCTCCTGAGGCGGGGCCGGAAGAGATGCTGCAAAACAAAGCACTTGGAGCACAACGGCTCCGTCAAGAGACTGAGGCACACGGCAGGGGAGGTGCCTCCGGAGGTGCGGGAGAGGGAGCAGAAGCTCCAGCAGGAGGAGGAGGACAGGAGGTTGGCCCTGCACCTCCAGCGGATTTTTGACAGCGAGAACAGGACAGTGGACAGGAGGAAAGTCCGAGTGGATCGGTACCTGCTGCGCTCCAAGAGCACTCTGGGGGCCAAGTAGCACTGGTGGGCCATGCTGCCTTTCTAGAGGACGATGAGGTTTATCAGATTGTCTTACAGGAAAACTATTTTTTGCCCTACTTCCACCCACCCCATTGTTTTCTCGTTCCAGTGGTAAGGCGTTCGTAGGTCCAGTTCGGAGAGAAGCCAGAGTCCTTTCAGATTTGACAAAAAAAAAAACAGGAGAGAACGAGGAAAGAAAATCCCTTCTGGTCCGTTGGTGTGAAGGAGTTGTTATCCCTGTGAATACACTGCAAGGCCTCCACACTCACGTGGGTTCCCCAGCCTGGAGGGTTGTGAACATGGGGTACGAGGTAAGGACCTCGTTCATCCCTTGCCAAGGGAAATCTGAGCTCTGCTCATGGAAATTAGGTTTGTTCTGTCTTACAGTCTTCTCCTCTCTGCCTGCCCGATTTTCTCCCTCAGACTGTGGAGTCAGGCCTTACCCATGTCAAATGACTTGAGGGCTGCTGGGGAGGGAGCCTGTTCCGTATTTCTCCAAGGAAATCCCGAACAGTACTTAAAAATGAATGTATCTCACTGTCTGCAACAGCAGTACAGACCATGCGTCACTTTCTTGATGTAAAAAACCAAATGAAGTGGAAAAAAAAGAGACCTAAAATAAGGGTTTTACCGAAAAGCCTTATAGGGACTTGTAATTCTGGGTTAGTGACAGGGCAGAGAGCTTGGGTGGAGCACTGGGCGCTGGGATCCAGGGAGCTTTTCTCCTAGTCCCTGCCTCTTCCAAGCCAAGAGGATTTCCTATTCTTCCCTCTAACACTGAAGGAAGGGAAATACCAGCTGGGTGATTTTGTTCAGCAGACATTCTCCCTGCTGACACATACCCTCAGGATCTTGCTTGGTTAAGAGCTCTCTGTCTAAGACCTGTTCTTACATGTCCCAGAGGAGGCTCCTGAGGGATCTGACGCATCCCTGTGCTCTCCAGGCACCCAGTGGTTGGTTGTGGAGCTGGGATGGGAGACCAGCCTTCCAGAGGGCTTTCCCTGCTCTGAGCTCCCTGGCTCCAGGTCCAAACCACTGAGAAAGCTCAGGTGAGCAATGCACTAAAAATTCCCACTTCCAGGCATAAAGTCGGGCCTGCAGCAGAGCTGGCCTGGAGCCTGGGCTTGGTGGAGCGTGTGTTCTCTGCGCAGATGTGGCCTCCCGCCCTTTGAATGTTTGTAACACTCATCCATCCGTTAACTCTGTGGATTATTTCCAGTAACGGAGCTCAAACAACACTGTTCCACCTCGATCCTTGAAAGCTGCCTTGCAGAGTATTCACTGGGATCCTCGGAGCCCACGGGGATCTTTGTCCAGGGCGGAGCTGTGGCGTTCCCCACCTGCCCACCCACGTGCCAGAGATTTTGGGGGATGAGCACAGTGCTGGGGCAAGCTTCTCCATGGATGGTGTGAAGGGAGGACACCCAGTGCGCTTAAACAAACAGATCTGATCTAAAAGAACATTTGTTGCCCAATTTCCTCTGTCTAAGAACAGTTGAATTTTCTCCCTCCATCTTAAAACGGTTAAAAAGAAAACAGGAACTGGTTTTCTTTTTCACTGCAAGGACCCTGGCAGATTTTTTTTTTCCCTAATTGAACTGGATTTTTACAAAAAAAAAAAAAAAGGCAAAAAAAAAAAGAAATCTTATATTTTAATGGATAAAATTTATATATTTTAAATACTATATTTCGAAAGATTGACACTTTTGTTTGGAGAAATCTTATAGCAATGATTCCATAATATATATCTGTATCTCTGGATCTCCTTGCCACACAAACTACTGGATGGTTAAAGTTGTCCCCGGGACTGGTGAGACCTGGCCTGCTCTGTCTTTCCAGCACTCCAGGCCCTCTCAGAGCCTTAGGAGGTGTTGCTTGAATCAGGCACTTTTGACCCAAACTGAATGCTGCTCCTCTTTCCAGCTGTGAATTAGAGGGAAATTGAGGAATTAGAGCCTTGGCCAGACCTGGAAGAGCAGCACAGAGAGAAGGAGCAATGGCCTGGATGTGTCCTTAGAGCTCAGGAGGGAAAGCCACAGCTTTAACTGAGAATCCATGTAGTTTCTCCCAACATTTTGAGCTAAAGTATGCACTTCCCAAGTGCATTTAGATTTAGAATTATTTTTCCACAGTTAATCCCTGCAGCCCCACTCAGACTTCCCTGAAGTTTCTTTCTTTCTTGTGGCACTTCTTGTGTGGGTTCAGCCAGGCCTGGGCTGCCACACCACAAAAAACCTAGATTTACATGCTGAATGTATCTTTTCTTTCCCCTCTTCAAAGAGATTTCACAGCCCAATGCACCAGGCCAGTGTCTTAAATATCTCCTTTGGAAAAGATTTTATAAATATTTCGGGGGTTTGTGCGTTAATTTCCTCTTTCCAAATCCGAGCTGGGTAGGAGGCATGCCTCAGCTGGAGTTTGTCCCCAGCCAAAAAAAGCTCCATGGGACCCCAGCTCCCCCCAAAACAGAGATCCCGACTCCCCAAGCATCACGCACAGGCTGTGGCATCCACATTTAAGGAGACCTTTGGATGTGGAATCACAATCGTGGAAGGGTTGCGGCAATGCGAAGCAGGATGAATGTTCTATTAATTTAACACTCTCGAAGTCTGTGTAAGCTTGCACAAAAAACCACAAAAATTGTAAATAATTACACTCAAAAGAGCAGGAGTTCCCATCCTCTCCCATAAAAAGGTCAGGAATGGCACTACCTTTGCCAGAAATTCAGCCAGCTGAGGAGGAAAATACCTCTTGCAAGATGTGCAGAGGCCTGAGATTAAACCACGTATTTATTCACACCTTAGGAAAGTCCTTTCTAACCCTCAGCCTTCCCTCTGGGATGAAGGCATTCTCTGTGGGAGCATCCTCCCAGAATGTGAAGCTGGGGTTGGTTCCATGACTTGTGTCTGCCAAAGATGCCGCTGACTCCAGAAAGTCACTTTTTAACCCTCTGGAGCTCTTTGCCCGGGAACAGCCACACGGAATGAATGGTCCATGTTTGGAGCCAGCAAGATCAGATAAATGAAGGAAAAGTGCCAAAAGGGATCATACCAGGTGATTGTACGATGTTGTTCTATATTGTCAGTATTTCTCTTCCAATGCTCTTGTACCTGCAGTGCACAGCAGTCAGGAAGTGTAGCTTGAACAAGTATTTTCTCAATGAAAGCAAAGGGGGAGGTTGAAGCCTTAAAGACTCTCACTGATTTTAAAAACCAAGCCTTTAGCAATGCTCCGAGGGGAGAGACCCTCCGACAGAGCTCGTCCCGTGCATTAGGGGAAGCATTTCAGGAAAACCTGGACCATTTCACCCCTGAGGGCAAAACTAACCACTGTCCATGATGGACATCCATGGATGGGAGCTGGGTAGAAGCACAGCACGGAAACTGGGATGATCCACGCACCTGACACAAACTTTCCCCCTCCCCATGTCTGGAAAACACCGCAACTCATCCGCTCTAGCATTAGCTCTTCACTATGCAAACGGGAAAACCCTCAGCTGGGCACGGATTGGGATTTGCTGTCAAACTGTTCAAAACAAACCTAGGTGTCGCTACACTTTTTTTTTTTTTTTCCTTTTTCCAATAATGCTTTATATTGTGCTTTTCCATTTGTGGAAAAATTCCAATTGTGCTTTCGCGTTCTCAGCTCGCCAGCGGAGCACTGGGCTGGTGACAGAGACTTTCCACGGTCATTTTGGGTCTCAGCTGAACCACCTGAATGTTTCCAAAAGGCACCGAAGGACCGCTGACTTGCATGTGTGAAATGTGTGAGTGGAATGACAACACGCAGGCAATCCCTCATGTTGTGGCTTCTGTTTGTTTGAAACAGAGTAAATCCTGCTTGTGAAACAACTGTCACAAACCAGAAACACGCCGACAAAATAGCAAATGTGTACAAATAATGTTGTACGTTTTAACAGCAACCAGGACTTGGAGAGACTGCAGGGCAGAGGCCGGGGTTCAAACAGAATAAAACCAGGTTCTGACAGTGAAATCCCTGTTTCTGTCAAAGGTGCTGTGCTTGGTGACAGGCGGGATCCTACTGCTGCTTGTGCCAAACGGGCGAGGTTATTGAGTGACCAGAGAGAATCCTTGAGTTTGGAAAAGCCCTTCAGGATCATCCAGTCCAGCTGTTCCCCCAGCACTGCCAATCCCACCAGTAAACCATGTCCCCAGGTGTCACGTCCACACAGCTTTTAAATTCCCCCAGGGATGGGCACTCACTACTGCCCTGGGCAACCCGTGCCAGGGCTGGACAACCCTTTTGGGGAAGGAATTTTTCCTAATATGTTTTGGAGGGGGAAAAATTGGTGAAAGTGGGTGTAACGACCTATTTTTTCATGTAGGGAAGCAGCTAGTGGGCAGTGAGCATCCTCCATTGCTTCTCATCGCTTGTCCCAGCCACTCTGATTCCAGTTTTTGGGCAGGGATGGATGAGATGAATCTTGTCCTGGATTTTCCAGGACAAGATTGGATTTTCTGATCCAATTTTCCTACTAGATTTCCTTACCTCAGGAGGGGGAAAGTGGCTTGGCCGTCTCCTCGCTGATGGTTACAGGGGGGAATATCGAACACCACATGGAATTCCTGCTGCCTCCAGACCTGCCCTGGGCTGGATTCCCTGTTTTGGAGGCCAGGGTTGTGAGCAGAGGGATGGTATGGCTCCTTGGATGGCTTGGCTCTCTTCCGTCCCCACATGGTAGGGATCCAGTTCTATCCTGGAACACGCATGAAACATGGGAGCCCCAAAAGTAAAGGCACCAGCAATCCTGAGCAATTCCAAAGGGAAAGCAGATGTGCTGGGTTATTTACTATTAGCTGCAAAAGGCGCCTTAATTTCCTGCCTCTCTGCCTCCTCTCTTCCCCAGCCAGTGCAGAGAAGTATCAGGTCCTGCTTGCACTGGCAGTTCAGATGGAACCACCATTGGAGCTGGGATGGAGATGAAACATGGAAGAGATCGAAGTCCTACTTCACATTGGGGCACATTCACTTTTACTCCAAGGCTGTTCTCCCAACAGCTGGGTTTGAGGTGAGGTTAATCCAGCTGTGAATCCAAGGGACCCCCAGCAGTATCTGTGTGGCATTTGCCCCTCTGTAGCCACAGCATTGGGGTCCAGCCTTGTGGCTTGGCCACACAGCAGATCTGTTGAAGATCATGGAATCATGGAATAGTTAGGGTTGGAAAAGATCTCCAGGGTCATCCAGTTCCCCCAGCACTGCCAAGGCCACCACTGTTAAATCCCTCCAGGGACGGTGACTGCGGGCAGCCCTTTTGCGGTTGGACAGGGCTTGGAGCAACCTGGTGTAGTGGAAGGTGTCCCCGCCCATGGAACTGGACGGGATTTAAGGTTCCTCCCAACCCAAACATCCCGTGATTCCAAGATTTGAACACCCCGTCCCTCACAGGAGTAACCTGAGGAGCGGACTACATTTCCCAGCGTGCCTCGCGGCGCGCGCGAGGGTGACGGGGCGTAACTTCCTCCCGCGCGGCCAATCAGGAGCGCCCAGGTGTCGCGCGCGGGGAGGGGGCAGAGACAGTGAGAAGATGGCGGCCAAAGGCGGCCGGAACGGGCTCCTGGACAAGGTACCGCGGGCGGGGCTCCTGGGCCCGCCCCGACCGCCACCCTGCCCCGGCCGGGCCCCTGGGCATCCCCCCGCCAGCCCTGGGCACCCAGCCTTCATCCCTGGGCATCCTCCCCTTATTCCTGGGCACCCATCCTTCACCCCTGGGCACCCATCCTTCACCCCTGGGCATCCCCCCCTTCACCCCTGGGCATCCCCCCCTTATCCCTGGGCATCCCTCCCTTCATCCCTGAACATCCCTCCCTTCATCCCTGAGCATCCATCCTTCACCCCTGGGTATCCATCCTTTAGTCCTGTGCATCCCCCCTCCTCATTCCTGAACATCCTCATCCCTGAGCATCCCTCCCTCATCCCGAGTATCCTCCCTCATTCCTGAACATCCATCCTTCATTTCTGAGCGTCAACCCCCTCATTCCTGAGCATCCCGCCCTTCCTTCCTATCTCCCCACCCTGTCCCTGGGCATCCACCCCCTCATCCTGAGCATCCTCATCCCTGAGCATCCTCAGGCCCAGGAGTTGGACTCGGTGATCCTTGTGGGTCCCTTCCAGCTCAGGGTATTCCATGATCCTCTGGGATGTTGGGGGGAGCAGATCTGACAATCCCAATCTCATCCCAGTAGTGTAAAGTACCTTAGGTTTGGATTAGCTTTGGTCTCAACTCGGCGTCCAGATATCGTGTCCCAGCTTCTGGGGATACTTGGCAGCCTGGGAGCTGGAATGAAAGACCTAGAGGCTCTTTTTGTGCTTCCTAAGGAGATGGAGTTGGTCTGTATCTATGGATGTATCTCCAGAGGGATGGGCTTGGCAACTTGTACTGAACTTCAAAACACAGGCACTTGCAGTTGGGATTTAAAGAGTATAGTTTTCCTGCACATGTTTGAGGTGATGTTTTCCATGCATTCCTAAGAATTCCATGGTTCTCCTTTGGAACAGTAGATTTAAGCTGTTAAGTTGGTGCTTTTAGGGCATTGTCTTTGCAGATGTGCTCAGCAGTCCTTTTGTGGTTAAACTTCCAGAACTCATGGAAACACCCTGCTCCCAAGGCATTCCTGTTCTTCCTGCCGTGTTCTCTGGATGCTGAGGGGTGAAAACCAGGAGTCATGGGGAAGGGAAATACAATGAATCCTCTAGGGAGAAACCCCTGAGGAGTTCCCACCCCAAGAACACACACGCTTGGCAATGTTCCTCCTTCTTTTCCCTGTGTGTGCCTTCGTTTCCTCTCTCTGCCTGAGGGAAGTCTGGTCATTTCTGTGAACTCTTGTATCCGTTGATGGAGTCACCTGGAATCACCTGGAGAATTCTGGCCTTAAGTCCATAATTTGTCCCAGTTTCTCCGCAGCAGGGAAATAACTGATGACCAGCGAGGCTTCGAAGCCTTAGGACATATTGCTTGTTTACCTTTCTGTGCTTCCCTGGAAGATTAAATCGGGAGTATAGGGAGATTTGTGGTTTAACTATTCCATGTTTTTTTTGGTCTTTCTGATGTCCTTGAAGTCTTTGTGATAACTGGGAAGCTATTCCCGAGCATTCCCTGCTCATCCAGGGCCACTTAAGTGTGCACAGACACGGAATTTGGGATGGTGTGGCCACAGTTCCTCCTCAGGAAATGCCTGGGGATTTCTCCCATTTAAAGCACACTGAATTAATCAAATTAATACCCATTTAAGCACAACACCAAGAGTTGGCTCCAGGACTAAAACCACTTCCTGAACACCAACTGCCTTCTGTGCCCCAGAATTGCATCATGCACTGAGGCTCTTCCAGCCTCTTGTCTCCCAGTTTGAAAAATTCCTGATTTTAGAAAGGAGGGGTTCCTTTCTTTTCATCCTTATCATAGAAAACACAGATTAGACACAGAAACGTTGTTTCCCTTGAAGAGTTTTTACACTGGTGCTCCTCTTGCAGTAGCAACAAACCTGATTTTACTTTGTGACTTGATTATTGATGTTTGTAATTCCCAAAGTGTGCTAGAAACTCCGGTGGAATATTTAAAGAGCCAAGCCAGGTACCCAGCCTAAAACTGAATGGAATGTAAAGCAGCACAAGGAATAATCCTTGGGGGAAGAAAGGTTTGTGTCAAAACACACCCAAACTTAAAAAAACCTGTGTTTTGAACTGGTTGGTTTCTTCTTTTCTCCATCAGGCTGGAACCAAAGTCTGAGTTTTTCTTTATAAGCCTTTGGAGCTCCTTTCCTCAAAGTCCTCAAACTGGATAACTGGGAGCAGTGAGGTCAAGGCTGGATGGGTTTCTTGGAAGCATTTTGATTTTCCTGTGGGATAAGGAAGCAGGGGTTGGGGGTTGGTGGTGTTACTCAAAGACTTGGACCGGGGGTTAATAATCCAATTCAGGAGCTGTAGGAGCAGGAAATAACATGAGGGAAATTGAGGATTGCTCTCCTGGCAGCTAAAATTCCATCTCCAGTCACTCAACTGAAATAAGGAATGACTTAAAATACACAGGGCTCAAAAAATAATATAGTTCAGGTGAAGGCAAACCCCTTGGAAAAGCTGAGCTGTTGTATCTGGGAATTGTTGTTAGGCAGGGACCTATTTCCAAGGAAAACCTGAATATGGAAGAACAACAGAAGCTTTTGGTTTCATCCTGGAGGATAGTTTAACTGAAACTTCATTTCTTATTTGTGCCTTTTAATTCTCCCCTTGTACCCAGATAGTTGGGGATTCTTGGAATTTTCCTCCTGCCATCCAAGAGTCCGCGTGTAACAGCAGGAATACATTCAAAGGCAGGAATTCAGTCACAATCTGGGGATGGCAGCAAATGTAGAAGCAAATTTAGAGTAAACCTGATGTGAAAAGCCCCTTCAAACCTGTGACAAGATGAACGAGCTGGAACCTGCACAGGGAACAGGTTTGGTGGTGCTGAGGGGGCTTTTGGATCCCAGATTCCCTCTGTCTCCACTGAGGTTTTCCCAAACTGGCAGCTGCTCTCTGGTTTGCCTCCTGTCTTTGTGTTCAGGGCAGGAACAAGGGCACTAGGATGAAATTCTCCTCACTCCCTTTGGTTTCCTTTGCAGTGGAAGATTGATGACAAGCCAGTGAAAATTGACAAATGGGACGGTTCGGCCGTGAAAAATTCCCTGGATGACTCTGCCAAAAAGGTACCTTCTGCCACTGCTGACTTTTTCCTTCTTGGGAAACGCTCTTATTTTCTTTTCTACTTTTTTGGGGTTGTCTGTGCCCCTATCCTTGCCAGGCCTGTAGCACCTCATGTGATTCCCATGGATTGTGCTTAATTCCCAGTGTTAATCAGCAAATTATCAGGATGCCTGGCATTAATTCTCCATGAACTCTCTGCTCAGTTTACCCGTCTCATGGAGGCTGTTTCCTCTAAACCTTTCCCAGAAACAGTTTGTCATATTCACGGAAAGCACAAAATAAACTCAGCCACTCATTTTCTCCCACAGGTTCTCCTGGAAAAGTACAAATATGTGGAAAATTTCCGCTTGATCGACGGCCGCCTCCTCATCTGCACAATCTCTTGTCTCTTTGCAATTGTTGCTTTGATTTGGGATTACCTGCACCCTTTTCCTGAATCCAAACCCGTCCTTGCTTTTTGTGTTGTCTCATATCCTTTAGAAATGTTGTCTCACTTCTACCAAAAGGCTTTGATCTTCCACATGAAGGAAACCCTTGTCTCTCCTGTTTTCAGGCCTGTGGGAATTTTTCGTCCCGAGGTCAGCTGATAATCAGACAGTTTTTCATGTGATGGGAAAATTCCTGCCTGTCTGGGTATGATGCACCCACATTTGGGTGACCTCAGAGCAAATCATTCCCTTATTCTATCCACAGTGCAGTTACAGACATGTCTGCTCTTCCCTAATACCACAGGGCAGATACTGAGAGGGAAAAGTGGAACAGAGGGAATTCTTGCCAGCACCTCTGCAGACAGATCTGGGTAGCCTGGATCCATGGGCTGAGGCCACTCTGGGAGGTTCAGCAGGGTGAAGGATTAGTGGTGGCCCTGGCAGTGCTGAGGGAACAGTTGGACTTTTCCAGCCTAAACAGTTCCATGAAAGACCTTCCAGCTCTAACCCCAGCCATGGGCAGGGACACTTTTCACTAGACCAGGTTGCTCCAAGCCCCGTCCAACCTGGCCTTGGACACTTCCAGGGAGTTAATAAGAAAATAATTTTGTTATTATTAAAGGTAAGAATTCATTAGTAATTTCTCATGCTAATGAGGCATCAGCCATGCATGAGAACGGAGTGTCACAAGAGGTGGTTAAACAATCTCTCTGAGGGGATCCGAGGGACTTCCCTGCCTGTCTTTGCAACTCCCCGATTTCCTTAACTTTCTCTGCACATATTTTGTGATGATGGGAATCCTGACCATCTACACCTCATACAAGGAGAAGAGTATTTTCCTCGTGGCTCACAGGAAAGACCCGGCGGGGATGGACCCCGACGACGTTTGGCAACTCTCCTCCAGCCTCAAACGGTACCCTTTGCTCCAACATCCCAGGCTTAGCCAGAGCCACCATTTCCATCCCTATCCCTCCAGAGCATCACCCTAAATACTCTCTTTCCATTCCAAACCTACAAATATTCTATCAAAAATTCCATGTCCTGGTCTAGAAACAGTGCCGAGTGGTTTCCTGCTGCAAATGGGTTCTGGTTCTCTTTAATCCCCCTGATTTAAGCACAGACTATAAAACTGTGTTAATTGTAGCTGTGGGTGCCCAGGTGGAGACTCCAGCCTGGGAGGGTTCTGATTCCAGCTGGGATCCTGCTCTGAGACCTCTCTGCTCTCCCTGCAGGTTTGATGACAAGTACACCCTGAAGCTGACGTTCATCAGCGGGAAAACCAAGCAGCAGAGGGAAGCCGAGTTCACCAAATCCATCGCCAAGTTCTTCGATAACAACGGGACGTTAGTCATGGAAGCCTACGAGCCAGAGGTGTCCAAGCTCCATGATAGTCTGGCCCTGGAGAGGAAAACAAAATGATCCCGGACACCGTCCCACCTTCCCGGGAACGTGCTGAGTTAACACCAATAAAGTCGAATGGCAAAGAAAGCGAATCATGGCCTCTGTTTTTGTCCTGAAATCCTATTCCATTTTTGGATTTTTAATCTTGCATCCAAGATTTCTTGAAGCTCATGGCTAAGCTTGGGCTGTGTGCTTGCAGGGCAGACCCTCAAGTTGGATTTTGGGGACCCCCGTGAGGGGAGACACGTCACTGATGCTGCCCCAGCTTCCTCCGCTGTACCTGGCAGTGCTTTATCACATGGCTCCATGTCTGGGGGCTGTTTTACTAATCCCACCTTTCCCTTCCATGTTAGGAATTCAGGACAAAACTCTTGTGTGGAACAACCGTCCCCTGGCAAACAAGTTTTCTTTATTTTTGTATTTATCTAAGTGGGGATAGATTGTTTTGTATAAAAACCTTTTATGTGTTGGGGGGGGAGGGGGGGATAAAATATGCTACTTCTGTGTGTTTGGCCACAGAGCTTCTCAAAAAGGTGTAAAAGAGGTTTTCCAAGCTGTGTCTGTCCGTCTGTCCCGCTGTTTCCTTGTGGCACCTCTTGTCCTGCGTGTCCCTTCTATAAACTGGCATTTTTTAAAAGATTTTTTGGGAGTTTTTTTTTCAATAAAAGGGAAGAACAGACATCAAACGTGTCCTGGAGCATCTCTGGGGTGTTTCAGGGGAGGTGGAGACCAGAGAGGGAATCCCAGTTCACAGAATCGTTCCCTCCTGGATTACAGGGGCTTCACTCAGCTCCCCATCACTGACTTCCAGCTCTGGGAGCTGGATATCCTGAGGTTTTGGTATTAAAGACTGAGGCAAAGGAGGCATTGAGTCCCTCAGCCTTTTCCTCATTCCCTGACACAGCTGCCCTCCACATCCAGCAAAGTATGGAGACTCTCCTTGGTCCTCCTTTTGCTGCCTATTTATTTAATGATAGGAACTGTTATCTTTCACCTCAGTGGCCAAATTAAGTTTCGGTTTGGCTTTGGTCCTTATAATTTTCTCCCTGCATCACCTCATACTATCTTTGTGGTGTCGTCGTTCCACCCCTCACCCCCCAAGTTTCCTGTCCTCTTTCTGCTCTTTTTTTCCCCGAGTTCCAACTTAAGTTCCCTGGACAACCAACGGCAGGTAATAGGGGGCCGTAAAGATCAGGGAGTTTCCTAGTAGTGTCCCTTACCCGGGCCCCAGGGAGGCAGCAGAATTCCTTGTGGGATGGGTCCAATCGGTTTATCAGACCCTCCATTCCCCTCGGAAGGGAGCGGACGATTCCCTTTTTTTTTCCCCTTGCAGAGCTCGTTGGGGTTGGCTGACTCACCCCAGGGAACCCCCCGATGGTCCTTCATCGTTTTCCTGGCCCTCACTCTCCGCACCTGTTCCATAGGGACACCTGGGAAGGTGAGGTCGGTCGGCAGGGGCACCCCAAGCCTCCATCCCGCTCTTGGGTCCCCTCCCGCCTGTTGGGAAGAGAACCTCCTCGGGAGCAGCTCCAGCACTCAGTATCCTCCCGAAATCCCACCTTTCCACCTCCTCTGCAGGGGGCTGATCACATCACCTGCCCACACCTGCGCAGGTATCGGCCCTCTGGCACCAGGACCAGGCTCTGCTGTCCCCACACTTGGATCCCCGCCCATTTCCTTGGGCTCTCCGACCGCCTGATCCGGTTCCCCCCCCTCTCCGGGAGCTGCAGGAAGAGGCGGAGCGGGGCGGCCCCGGCGCGGCGGAGGCGGTGGCTGAGGAACGGGGTCTGCGGAGGGATGCGGGAATGTGGGAATGCGGCGTGTCGGGGCACGGAGAGGATTGGGGGGTCGTGAGGAGTCATTACGTGCGGGGGGTAGGGGACTCAGGGGTTTGGGGGGCAGGGGTGTGCGGCGGGTCCGGGATGGGGGGGATTGTGGGGGGATCGGTGCATGTGGGGTGCAGGGAAGTCGGGGTTTTGGGTGTGCAGGGGGATGGAAGGGGGGTCTGGGAAAGGGAATGGGCAGGATTGGTGCATGCGGGGTGTAGGGGAGTCGGGGTGTTGGGGGTCAGGGAATGGGAAGGTCGCTGCGTGTGGGGTGAAGGGGAATCGGGGTTTGAGGGTGCAGGGCAGGTGTGCAGGGGAGTCGGACCAAGGGGGTACACGGGGAGGGCCTGGGCACTGGAGGTGGATGAGGGGGTCGGTGCATGAGGGGAAGGGGGTGAGGACATGTGGGGTGCAGGGGGGTGCACAGCGGGGGTGTCTGTCGTTGGGGGTCAGTGCTTTCTGAGGTGTGGGGGATTTATGCTGTGGGGTGTAGAGGGGGTTGCAGGGACATGGGGGTGCAGGATGGGATCCAGGTGGGAGGTCGTGCATGGGGGGGATTGGGGCAGGGGAATGCATGGGCATGGGGACTCTGGGGTGGGGACACTGGGGGACCTAAAGGAGTTGTAGGCTTGGAAGTACTGGAGAGGCACGGGGGGTGCAGAGCCCTTGGGAACAGCATGGGGAGTGGGCTTGGGGGCGAAATAGGGGAGCTTGTGCAGCACTGGGGATCAGAGGGACACGGAGACACCACAGACAGGCAGGAGAGTGGGCTGTGACCCCTCCAAGGGGCTCTGCTCTCAGTCCCCCTCTCCTACCCCGCTTAGGCCCCAGCAGGAGCCACCATGTTCCAGGCCACCACTTGCCTCAAGGTGAGTCCTTATCCCTATCCCTCCATACAGGGGGACATGAGGGCTTTTCCTGGTATTTAACCCTTTACACCCGGCATTCCCACACTTCCAGCACCAGGGAGATGGCAGGGAGAGCCCCCACTGCCACCACCATCGGAATCCCCGCTTGTCTCCCCTCCGGAGACGCTGTTCCGACAGGGAAGTGGGGTCACCTACCGCATCCCAGCTCTGCTCTACATCCCCCCGGATGAATCCTTCCTTGCCTTTGCCGAGAAACGCTCCTCAGCCCGGGATGAGGACGCCAAGTACCTGGTGCTGCGTCGGGGCTGCCGGCACGGCTCCTCGGTGAAGGTAAAATCCACCCCGCGCTGCAGGAACAACCTGTGTCCGCATCCACGCCGGGTGGTTCCAGGGTGCGGCGACGCTGGTGCACCCCACGATTGAGCCCCGTTTCCCTCATTGCCGGCAGTGGGGTCCGGTGGAGGAGCTGTCGGCGCTGGCGCTGCCCGGCCGCCGCACCATGAACCCGTGTCCGCTCCTCGATGCCAGGAGCGGCACCATCTTCCTCTTCTGCATCTGCGTGGAGCAGGGGAAGACAGAGCAGCACCAGATCTGGAGGGGGAGCAGCGCCGCGCGTCTCTGCTTCTCCACGAGCGCCGACGGCGGCCGCAGCTGGGCCCCGCTGCGGGACGTGACGGACGAGGCCGTCGGCGCCGACCTGTCCCGCTGGGCCACCTTTGCCGTGGGGCCGGGCCACGGCGTGCAGCTGGATTCGGGGCGGCTCGTGGTGCCGGCGTACACCTACTACATGCACGGGCTCCTGTGCGGGGCCGCTCGGCTGCCCTGCTGGACCCGCCAGCACTCCCTCGTCTTCTACAGCGATGACGGCGGGCGCCGCTGGCACAAGGGCGCCCTGCTCGCCGGCGAGCGCACGGGCGAGTGCCAGGTAGCCGAAATCCGCGGCGCCCAGCCGCCCTTGCTGTACTGCAGCGCCCGTGCCCCGCACGGCTGCCGCGCCGTGGCGCTCAGCGCCGACCGCGGGCTGCGCTTCCAGCGCCCGGCGCGCTGCCCGGCGCTGGCCGAGCCCCCGCACGGCTGCCAGGGCAGCGTGGTGAGCTTTGCCGCGCCCGCCGGCACCGCCGGGGCGCCCACGTGGCTGCTCTACTCCCACCCCACCGACCGGCGCCACCGGCGCGATTTGGGTGTCTACCTGAACCCGTCGCCGCTGGACGGGGCGGGCTGGCGGCGCCCCTGGGTGCTGCACGCGGGGCCTGCCGGGTATTCCGACCTGGCCGTGTGTCCAGGCAGAGTTTTCGGCTGCTTGTTCGAGTGCGGCACCGCCAGCGCCTGCGAGGAGATCGTCTTCTGCCTCTTCACCCTGGACTCCTCTGATCAGAACCTCAAGGCTTCCTAAAAACAGACCTGTGTTAGTCAAGGGGGTCACTCCTGACTGCTGGTATCCCGATCCAGACCTCCCCAGGATGTTTTGGATGCTCCAGAGGCTCAGCATCGTGTCGCTTTTAATTTTATATTTAATTATGGCTTTTTAATCACCCATCAGTTGGTGGTGGTAGAGGATCTGCTGCAGGCTGGCCAAGGGGTGCTGGCACAGCACCCAAAATGATGCTGCTCCTCCAAAAATGGGCATTTTTCACCTGGTAGCAGCAAAAAAGTGCCACCGAGAGCAGCTGGTTCCCTGAGGCAGAAGTCCCCTAAAGTCTTATGTAAGTTAAAAATGTTTCCAGTCCCTGTGTCGCCCTCATGTGGCAGAGAGAATTCCTATTTTTTATCCTGTTTTATTCCAATTGCCTGCTTTGGGCCTGTATTCCCATAGGAAAAAGAACTCTGGTCTTGCAGGGATTTTTTTATTCTGCTCCATAGGAATGGGTTGTGGCATCCTGACGGCGACAGCAACCTCACAGTCCTGTGCTGCTGGCAAATAAAGTCCTCCCAAAGCAGGTGAAATCCAACCAGTATTGGGGAAAAAAAACTGGGAAAAGCCCTGCACCCATCATGTCTTTGCACTCATCACCCCATGGTGGAGAACAGGGCTGGCCCCTCACAGCCCCTCAGCGCAGGCACCCTCGGAAAACCACACTTCCCATTTCTTGGCCCTGCTTTTGGGAATTCAGCCAGTTCTGGCCCATTTTCCCTGGGAGGCTCCAGGGTTCCAGGGGCTGGGGGTACTTTGGGGTGCCATTGTGGTGCTGTCCCCACAGAAGGGGTACCTGAGCACCTCCTCCAACAGGGTTTTCTCCTAAAAAGGGTTCTTCCATGGTGAGTGTCCACATATTGATTGGGAACGAAGTGGGATGTTCCCAACCCGCCACCCTCAACCCACTGGGACAGGATGGATAGGGACAGGACAGAATGGGATGGGGACAGGATGGGATTATGACAGGACAGAGTGGAGTCAGGCAGCAGAGGACACATAGGAGGGGGACAAGGATGGGATAGGGACAGGACAGGATGGGGAGAGACAGGAGTGGGCCAGTCCAGCTGAGCACAGGGCAGGGTGGGGACAGGAAAGATGGGGATGGGATGGGAACAGAGGACAGCAACAGGCAGGATGAGTCCAGAACAGTTTGGGGACAGACAAAAGGTAGGATGGGATGGGGACAGGAAGGATGAGTGCAAGGCAGGAAAAGGGACAGGTAGGATGGGGGCAAGATAGAATAGGGACAGGGACAGGCAGGATGAGGGCAGACAAAAGTGGGACAGGGTGAGATGGAGACAGAGGACAAAATGGGGACAGGCAGGAGCAGGACAGGCAAAATGAAGCTGAGGACAGGGCAGGATGGGACCAGCAGGGAATAGGGAGAGGGACAGGCGGGATTAGTTTGTGGCAGGACGGAGACAAGAGAGGGACAAGCAGGATGGGGACAGGGACAGGCAAGAGGGGGAACAGCACCACCCTTCCCCTCCCCAGCCAGCGTGGCGGATCCGGGAAACCCCCACCCCTCTACCCCCCTTTTCCCCCATAAAGGCGGGGCCTCTCCGCCCCTTCCCCCCTCCTTTCTCCGGCGGCGGCGGCGGCCGGATGCGGGCGCTGGAGCTGGGGTCACTGGTGACACTGGGAGTGCTGGGGGCGCTGCTGGGACGGGGAGCACTGGGAATACCGGAGGTACTGGGAGCGCTGAGGGTACTGAGGATTCTTTGCGTGCTGTTGGCACTGGGGGAACCTGGAGCACTGAGAGCACTGCTGGCACTGGGGGCGCTGAGGGCACTGGAGGCGCTGGGGGCACTTGGAGCACTGGGGGCACTTGGAGCACTGGGGGTACTGGGGGCGCTGCTGGCGCTGCTGCCGCCCCCCGCCCCGGCCGAAACCTTCTCGGCGATGCTGAGCGTGCGAGCAGCGCTGGGCGCCGAGCGCCGCCTGCTCCGCCGGCTCCGGTCCTACCTGCGGGAGGAGAACGCCCGCCTCCGCCGCCTCCGCAGGTACTGCAGACTCCCCACCCCGCCGCGGTCACGCGTGGGGGCACCTGCAGCGTCCCCTCCCCTCCAGCCGCCCATCCTGCCCACCCAGCCCCAAGGGTGGGTGATGCCCTGGCAGTGAGGGGGGTTAATCCATCTCCACCTCCCCGCAGCACCCGATTTTCGGGGTGCCCCCAACTGAAAGAGGATGGGGAGCTCAGACCGTACACTGCTTGTGGGCCCCCCAGCCGTGCCACTGGACGGGGACATGGCCTCCCCACCCCCGGGGATGTGACTCACAGCATCCCCAAGGCACAGCCCATCCCACGCACCCACCAGGGATGCGGGTGGACAATCCCTCAGCTCTGGCTTTGGCCCAAAAGTGGACACCGAGGCAAAGCCACCCAAGGATGGGGGGACTCAGCCCCCACCCCGGGGGTGTGACCACTGAGGAGCATCAAGGTGTCACCCAGTGGGTGCCTTGTAGGTTCTATGAGAAGGTCCAGGTGCTGCACCAGGACCCCGAGGCCTCGGTGGACAATCCCTTGCTGGCCTTCAGCCTCATCAAGCGCCTCCACTCCGACTGGCTCAACATCATCTACAGCGACGAGGCCACCAGGAATGCCCAGGGTATGGCCACGTGTCCCCTCTGTCACCTGGCAGAGCCAGGAAGTGGTGAGGAAAGGGTGGATGGAAAAGCAGAGGGGAATGGGTGGAGGAGCAGGAGAATAGATGGAGGAGCAGAACATATGGAAGAGCAGGAGAATGGACGGAGGAGGTCAGTGGGTAGAGGAGCAGGAGAAGAATGGGTGGAGGAGCAGGGGAATGGATGGATGGAGAAGAGGTAAATGGGTGGAGGAGCAGAATGTGGAAGAGCACAAGAATGGACAGAGGAGAAGGGTTAACAGATAGAGGAGCAGGAGAATGGAGCCAAAGAATGGATGGAATAGCCAGGGAATGGATAGAGGAGCCAGGGAATGGATGGAATAGCCAGGGAATGGATGGAGGGGCCAGGGAATGGATGGAGAAGCCATAAAATGGGTGGAGGAGCAGAATGGATGGAGAACCCAGGGAATGGATGAGGGAATGGAACATGTGGAGGAGCAAGGGAATGGATGGAGGAGGAGAGCAGGTGGAGAAGCAGAAGAACGGTTGGAGGAGCAGGCAAATGGATAAGGGAGTGGAACATGTGAAGGACCACAATGGATGGAGAAGAAGGAGAATGGATGGATGTGGGTCCCTAGGGATTGAGAAGGGCTGACAGGGGTGATTACACCCCAAAACCTGCACCCCATTCCCACCCTGCAGCACTCCATGCTGGTCTCAGGGAGGTGGAGCAGGAGCTGCCTGGAGCCGAGGACCTGGACGGAGCCGCCCGGGCGCTGATGCGGCTGCAGGACGTCTACGCCCTCAGTGTCAAGGGTTTGGCCAGCGGCATCTTCCAGAGATCTGGCACTGACCACCTGCCCCTCTACAGCCCCAACCGGCGCGTCTCCCTGTCCGCCGACGACTGCTTCCATGTGGGAAAGGTGAGGGCAAGCCCCACCACCCCACACAAAGCTTTTTCAGCCCAGGACATTGCTTCCATAGGGATAGACATTGCGTTTTCTTCGCTTGGGAAGAGATGGAGGTGCAGGTGCAGATGGGGATGGAGACTGAGACGGAAAGGGAGATGGAGATGAGCAGAATGGATGGGGATGATGTGGGAGGGAATGGGGATGGAGATGGGAATAAGAAAGTGACAGGATGTAATGGGACAGGATGGGTGGGTGCAATGGGGTGGGATAGAATGGCATGAGGATGGGATAGAATGGGATGGGAGAGGACAGGGTAAGGCAAGGGTGGAAGGAGATAGGGTTGAGATTGGGATGAGGATGGTGATGGGGATAGGATGGGATAAGAAGGGGATGGGATGGGTCAGGATGGGATAAGGGTGGGGATGTGGTGGGATGGTAGAGAAGGGGATGGGATGGGATGGGATGGGATGGGAAGGGGACAGGATGCAGGCCAGGATGGCCCAGCTGGCGGGTCCAGGTGATGTGTTGCCTCACAGGTAGCCTATGACACAGGTAACTATTACCACTCCATCGCGTGGCTGGAGGAGGCCGTCAGCCTCTTCCGCCTCTCCTATGGCAGCTGGAACCCGGAGGACAGGAGCAGCCTGGAGGATGCTCTGGACCACCTTGCCTTCTCCTACTTCATGGTACAGCCACAAGCCCCCTCCATCCCCACAGTATCCATAGAGACAAACCACAGAGAGGGGATGCTCATGCCTCTCCACTCCCCCATCCAGGCTGGAAACATCTCTCATGCCTTGAGCCTCTCCAGGGAGTTTCTCCACTACGGTATGTGGGACAACCTTGGCTGCAGAAGGATGAGGGGAGAGGTTTTGGTATGCCCCCATCAGCTCTGCGTGACAACAGCTTCCTTCACCCCATTTCTTGCCCCCACATGGGGCAGTTCCCCAGGGAAGGGGGGTGATGGGGACATGGCATTTTGGGTGACACCACCTCTCCGGCAGATCCCAGTAATCAAAGGGTGACCAGGAACGTGGCCAAGTATGAGAAGCTGCTGGAGATGGGGACGGGGTGAGCGCCAGACCTCTGAGACGCCCCAACAGTACCCGCCTGCAGAGCCGGGACACCTACGAGGAGCTGTGCCAGCGCCCCAGGGGGCAGGTGGGGCTAGCAGGGGGGGCCATGGTCACCCCCCAACCACCTTATCACCTCCCTGCCCCTTATGCCCTCCTTTGTCCCCTTTCTTCCCAGCCAGCCCCAGAGCAGCTCCTGCAGCTTGGCTGCTCCTATGAGACCAACAGCAATCCCTACCTCCTCCTCCAGCCTGCCAAGAAGGAGATGGTCAGGATCCGACCCTATGTGGCTCTGTACCATGATTTCATCAGCGATGCTGAGGCTGAGACCATCAAGTGGTTGGCAGGGCCCTGGGTGAGCCGTCCCTGTCCCCAGGGATGTCTCCTTCCTGGAGGAGGGCGTCCCGAGAGCTGAATGCAGAGATAGGAGGGGTTTTAAGGCAAAGCTCAGCCAAAGCCTTCTCCAGCAAGTCCAGGCTGGACAGGGCTTGGAGCAATATGGTCTAGTGGAAGGTGTCCCTGCCCATGGAGGGGGGTGGAACTGGATGATCTTTAAGGTCCCTTCCAACCCAAACCAGTCAGTGATTCTATGAGACCCTTGGGATTATGAGCCAGACAAAAGATTTTCTGGGGAGAAATCAAGTTCACACGTGCACCTAAACCACTTCCTAACCAAGCCTGACTTGGTGATACCCACCTGTTGGATCTGTAGGACACCTTGGGGTGGGGATGTTTGGCAACCACTGGCAAGCACCAGCTTCGATCCTGACTGGGGTCTCTGCTCGGTGTGAGGGTCCCCATGTGCAGCAACCTCCCCCATTTGTCCTGCAGCTGCAGAGATCCGTGGTCGCCTCTGGGGAGAAGCAGCAGAAAGCCGAGTACCGGATAAGCCAGAGGTGGGAGTCAGCCCCTGCCTTGTCCTCCAGCCAGTGGCACCACCGTGGCCACCACCGAGGTGGCAGTGGAGCCACACTGGGCAGGCCTGGTGCCTCCAGCAGCGCCACAAGGGCTAAGCCCAGCCTGAATCGGGGGGCTGAAGGTGTGGTGGTCCCGCAGTGCGTGGCTGAAGGACACGGCTGACCCCGTGGTGAGGGCCCTGGATCGGCGCATCGCTGCCGTCACCGGCCTGGACCTGCGGCCACCCTACGCAGAGTACCTGCAAGTGGTCAACTACGGGCTGGGAGGCCACTATGAGCCACACTTCGACCACGCCACGGTCAGGGAGCTGCCTGGGCGGACTATGGGGAGGGCCACGGGTGGGCCGTGGGGTGATGTTCCTGTGGTGTTCTTGGGGTGCTCTTTGGAGTGCTCCTGGGGTGGCCTCTGGGATATTCCTGGAAGTGGTCCATGGGGTGGGCTCTGGAGTGGTCCCTCATGTTCCTGGAGATGGACCCTGAGGATGGTCTTTGGGGTGATTCCTCAGATGTTCCTGAAGGTGCACCATGGGGTGGTTCCCGGAGGTGAACCCTGGGGTGGTCCCTCAGAATGTTCCTGGAGATGGACCCTGGCAGGGTGGGTGGTCCCAGGATGGTGATCCCTGGGTGGGTGCCTGGGAAGGGGGAGGAGGGAGGAAGGAGGTGAGGGAAGAGGGAAGGAAGGAGGGGGAGAAAAGAAGGGAGAGGGAGGGATTTCACAGGGAGGGGGAGCAGCTCGGAGCTGTTGGGGCATGAGGTGCCTCTGGGCTGAGGTGCATCAGCACAGGACTGTTCCCACGGGACTGACCATTCCTACCTCGTCACTCTTGGAGCAGTCCAGGAAGAGCCCCCTTTACAGAATGAAGTCGGGCAACAGGATCGCCACAGTCATGATCTATGTGAGTCCTCCCTCACTGCCACACCTGGAGACACGGCCCTGCCGGTCACAGTAGGGTTCAGAGTGAACGGGGTGCGAGATGGGCAAGGGCAGCCCTCCAATGCTGCAGTGGGGTGTTAAACGCCAACGTTTGGGGAGTATTTCAGAACTTGTGGGGTGACAAAGCAAGGGAAATGCAGTTGGGGACCGAGGGAGGAGTCGTGCCTCAGTTTCCCTGTGCACAGCAGCTAGATCTTGGGAAGAGGGACAACCATGGCTCCTGTTTTTGCTCCTTTTCCAGCTGAGTGCAGTGGAGGCTGGGGGCTCCACCGCCTTCATCTACGCCAACTTCAGCGTGCCTGTGGTCAAGGTGAGGGGGACCCACTGAACCCCCAGGAGCAGGGAAGGGGGGGATGCTGCTCCCAGGATGTCAGCTCTTGCAGGGAATTGTGCTCGAGCCTGTTCTGATGCTAAACCCCAATCCTGGGGCTCCTAGCCCTGTTTTGGGGTGACAAACCTAAACCCCAGATCTCCCTGTTTTGGGATGCCAAAATCCTTTCTCTGGGATCCCAGCTCTGTTTTGGAGTGACAAATCCTAACCCTGGGACTCCCAGCACTGTTTTGGGATGTAAAAATCCAGTTTCAGGGATGCTAGCCCTGTTTTGGGGTGCTAAACTCCAACCCCAAGGATCCCAGCCCTGTTTTGGGGTGCCAAAATCCAGCCCTGGGGCTCCTGGCTCCCTTTGCAGGGTGTCAAACCCTGATCCCACAGCTCCCAGCTCTGTTTTGGGGTGCCAAACCTCAATCTCAAGCCAGGGCTCCCTGATCTATTTTGGGGTGCCAAACCCCAATCTCAGGGATACCAGCCCTGTTTTAAGGTGCCAAAGCTCAGCCCTGGGCTCTGGCTCCTTTTGAGGGGCATCAAATCCTGCAGTTCCCAGCTCTGCTTTGGGGTGCCAAACCCTAACCCTGGAGCTCTCACCTGTGTTTTGGGATGCCAAAATATCCAGTCTCAGGGATCCCAGCTCTGCTTTAGGGTGCCAAAATCCAGTCTCTGCTCCTCAGAATGCCGCTCTTTTCTGGTGGAACCTGCGGAGGAACGGGAACGGTGATGGTGACACTCTCCACGCCGGCTGCCCTGTCCTGGCTGGGGACAAGTGGGGTGAGAGAGACTGCTGGGTGTCACCCTGGGGTGACAAAGGGTTGGATGGGCGGGGAACACACAAAAATCCTGGATAACAGGAAAAAAGGTCCCCAGTATCAGCACAGGGACAGACCGGGATCTGTGTCCTTGTCCCTTCCAGTGGCGAATAAGTGGATCCACGAGCACGGGCAGGAGTTCCGGCGGCCATGTGGTGCCGACCCGTGGGACTGAGCCATCGTGGGATCGTGGATGTGGCAAAGCCATCCCAGCACAGCATGTTCCCAAGGCTGGAGCGAGAGAGGGAGGGAGGAAGTGGGTGGAAACATAGTGGGGGGTGATCCGGGGTGGGGGGATGTCACTTGCTCAGCCATGACCAAATTGTGTGGAAATAAAGTGAAAGGGCACTAAGCTGGAGTCTCTTTTGGGGTGACAAACCTAATCCTGGGGCTCCCAGAGCTGTTTGGGGATGTCAAAATCCAGTCTCAGGGATCCCAACTCTGTTTTGGGGTGTCAAAACCTCACTTTCAGAGCTCCCATCTGTGCTTTGAGGTGCCAAAATCCGGTCTCAGGGATCCCAGCTTTGTTTTGGGGTGCCAAAACCTCGATCCCTGTGCTCCCATCCATTTCTTAGGATGCCAGAATCCAGTCTCAGGGAGATGGCAGCTCCTTCCAGCCCTCCTGGCTCCCTGCCTGCCCGCAGACATATTCCCCTTCTGCTGCAACCACAGCTCTTCAGTGACTGGAAGGCCAAGAGGAGAGAGCCAGGATCTCCAGCAGCGCCTGGAGATTGGGCAGCTGATCCCCCTAGGCACTTCCCAGGAGAAACAATCCGGATGAAGTGAGGGTCTCGCTGAAGGACACCATTGGCACAGAAACTCTGTGTCCATCCAGCCTCATCTAAGAACATTTGGATGAGATTCAAATCCTCTGGGATGCCCCCAGCTCCCCACGGGGGCCGAGGCAACCACGTCACCTCTCAGGCTCTTTCCTAACTGGAAGAAAAAAGGATAAAAATAATGAAGGGGGATGGAAACAGCAGGCAGACCTCTCCCAAGGGCTCTCCTGCTCACTTTCAGTTAAAAAATGTGCATTTATCACTCCTTGGCTGCTATCCAGCCCTGGCTTAACCCTTCCATAGGCACACAGGAGTGGAGGGGAGCTGCGAGCAGCGTTCAGGCAGGACAACAGGAGCTGGAGCACTGGGAAGAGGCTCCAGGAGCCCTTCGGGGGTCTGTTAAACCTGTCTGAATGTGAAAACAGCCTGGAAGATTTCCAGTTTCCCCAAATTCCTGCTTTTTCAAAGAGGAACAACCACGCCAGGACTCAGAGATGGTTGGACAGAGCACAGGTTACTCAGCAGCCCGAGGGCCGTGGTTTATTACTTCCAGATGTTTCTGTACACGTGGGAGTTGGTCATGGAAAAGAGCGGAAAGAGCAAAAGCTGGTGCTAAATTCCCCACTTTCCCCCACCTTAGAGTGCAGAGAAGGGATGGAGGAGCATTTCGGATGACAAGAGGCTTCCATGAGTCACCAGAAAAACCCAAGGCTTGGGGATGGCACAGGAACAGCTGGATCAACACCCTTCCTCCACTGGCTTCTCCGAGGAGCCCAAGTACCACAGCTGAAGGGAAAGCAGGAATTCCTACTCCAGGCTTTTCACAAATGCTTTATTTGTAGGCGAGGGAAACGGACACGGAACAAGACAGGAACAGGATGTGGCGGACACGGGACACGGCGCGCGGTCTCTGGAGAACTCACACACACACACACACACACGCATACACATTTTCCATCTGGGAATAGCAGCACGTGGTAAAAGGTCACCCTGCCGGACTCGGAATGCTCGGCCACAACCGACCAAGGATCCGACAGCAAAGCCTGGATCAAACACCTATCCCTATCCCGCTGTTCTGGGATGCCTTACGGACACGGTGCCATCAGACGGGTCCCTACGGATGACACAACCAAGGGATGCAGGATTGGGCAACACAAAGGGCACTTCCAGGCTGTGAGATGGGTAGTAGATGCACCAGGGCCAGGATTTCTTGGAAGGGACAACCCAAAAACTCTATTTTTTGACCTCAGCTGAAGATCCAGGTCTAGATTTCCAAGAGCATGGAGCACCAGTTCAAACCAGTGAATCACTGGTTGCCAGGCTCTTTTCCCAGGCCTTTCTGCTCCCAAGAGTAAAGGGAATAGTGGAGGGCAGGATAAATGTCAGTGCCAAAGTTACAGAATCAGAGTAGTTTGGGTTGGGAGGAACTATAAAGCCCATCCAATTCCAACTCTCTCCCACCAGACCACATTGCTCCAAGCATCATCCAACCTGGCCTTGAACACTTCCAGGGATGGGGAATCCACAATCTCTCTGGAAAACCAGAGCCAGGGCCACAACTGTAAACGAACTTCTTCCTAATATCTAATCCACCCTCCTGGGGGGGGATTTTTCAAGGTTTGTGTTGCCCTGCAATGCACGGCTCTGGCTGGAACAGGCTTCCTCAGGTTTTCCAGGCCTTTCTGTGGCCAAAAAAGGGAAAAATAACAACTTTGCCCATAAATGCATTACCCTCTGCAAATGCCCTATCACAGCCTGATGGGAGAATTCCACGTGGAAAACCCCAGGCCTGAGTTTTCATTCCTCGTTCAAGAGTTGGTTCATTCAAAGCAAGACCACATGCTTTAGCAATAGAGGAAATAATCTTTTTCCAACAATCCCAGTGCTCCATCCAGTCACTGATGGCTTTTTCTGGTGTGTATAATCTGGCAAAACCCATCCTAGGCCTCATTTTTTCATTTATTTATTTAACTTATTAAATTAAAGCAAAGCCTGTTACAAACCAGCCTCCCAAACTCCATGTCATGCTCCTGCCAAGCCTTGGGATCTTCCACAGGGAAAGTTTCCACTTATCTTCAATCCAACAACTGCAACAAAAGCAAGTGTGATTTCTAAATAATCCAAAGGCTGCAGGAAAAATGCAGTGAAAAGCTGGGAGTTTGGGGACAGTTCACTCTGTGCTCGTTTTTCATGAGCTGAACAGAATATTCCTTCTCTCTGCAGTCCCTTTTCTCACAGCCTGTGCTATCCCTCTACCTAAATCCCATTTAGCCCAGCCTGGAGCTCCCTGGAAACTGCAGCAGGAGCATTAATACTTCTCAGACAAAAGTACAGTCTCAAGAATGTACATGGCTCGACGGAACCGAAAGGAATTTCCCCTCCACCCACTCCCACACTGCTGCTGTCTCTGGAATCCCTTTTTTTTTTTTCCAAATCCAGCACCAGTCCCTGAACTATTCCCACCTAATTCCAGGCAAGGCAGGGCTGGGAGCTCAGCACAGAGCGACGCACCATTAAATAGGCTGTTGAAACATTTATTTTCTTTTCACTCACCTCTCCAGTGTTAAACAACAAACCAGAATCCTACGGCCCCACAGGCCACAAAGGCCCCACGTGCCCCATAGGGCCATACAGGCCCCCCTAGACTACATATGCCCCACAGGCTTCAAAGGCCTCCCAGGCCCTGTGGGCCCCACAGGCTTCAGAGGCCGCACAGGCCCTGCAGGCCAAACGGGCCCCACAGGCCTCACCAACAGGATTCCAAAAGTCATCCTTTTTCCAGTGGCGCCTGCAGAGAATCCAGGATTGATCTGCTTTCCACAGAGTATTCGGTGTGGTTGGGATTTATTTTTCAGATCTCATAAACGAAAGAGGTAACGCGAGGAATCCCTTGGATTCTCCAAGTTAACTTCCAGAGGAGGAATGTGAATTCACGAGGATCACTCAGGACTATGATCACAGGCTTAATTACCCCAGGAAGTGAGATTCTTGGATGCACACATACTATATTATTTAATCCCGAACAATTTGAACAAAGGAGTCACCTGGAAAAGAGAGTTTTGCCAATTTTCAGGATATGTCTCGGGAAGGTGTTATTTTGCGTCTCAATTATTGAAGATCCATTGAATCCATAAGGAACAGGGTTGGACATCATGGCCACAGGAAATTAATGCAATCATTCACATGGTGACCATTACAGAGGGAAGTGCTGGGAGCCAGCAATTCCCTTTAATCACCTGATGGCCAAAGTGCCAGGAGGGAGAAGAGCTCTCTGGAATGAGCTTCTCCTGTCCCTAACCCAGGCATTTCCCATCCTGATGTGTCAGGAGCAAGGCCAGGACTCCTGTGGCCAGTGAATCAGACATGAGTGGATTTCCACCAGGTTCAAAGTTAAACCCTTTGCCCCACCTGCACCTCTCTCAAATACCAAAAATTCCTGATGGCTCTTGTCGATGGGATATACACATGGATGCAAATGGCAGCTCCCAAATCACAAAAATCATCCTACAGCAGCAAAGGGTGATGGACACCAGGCAGGAAAAAAGGGATTTCAGATATCCACTGGGAAAATATCGAGGAAAACTGCTCCAAAACATGCCTGCTCTTACACTCACGAGTGACTCTGTCTAGGGATCATTTATCCCTGAAGAAAAGCTCTCTGTGTATATGGAATTCCGGAGGGCAGGCAGCAAAATGATCCAGGAAGTGACAGTGGAAACAAGGTCCTTCCTCCAATTCTGGGGGAGCAGCTGCCTCACCTCTGCATCCACATCAGCAGGACTGACTCTAAGCTCTCCTAGGGCTTCACCTACAGCCATTCCAGCGATGCCGAGCAATGCCTGGCTGTGTGTGGCAGCTATAAAAAGGGAAGCACAGACACGTGCCGGGGCAGGAACAACCTGTTGGCCCTCTTGGGTCTGTCCCATCAGCGCAGGCCCCAGCGTCCCCTTCGTGGGATGTGTCTGCAGTAGATGGAGTTATCCAGGCTATTCTTCCCAGAAAGGACTCGAAAAAAGTACTAAGAAAACTGCCCAGACTGAAACAGAGCTCAGGGCTCCCCCTCACCTTTTTGAGATACAATCCCATCCAACTTTTCCCAGGAAAGTGTCCTCTAGGCTCTTCCCACACCTTAACCGTGTCGGTGAGATGAAACCTGAGCTTTCAACAAAGCCAATTCCTCATTTGCTTTGGGGGAAAGAGAATGTGAATATATAAAACCCAAACCTAAGGGGCACTTCCAAGATGATTCCACAGAGAAATCCCGAAGCCTTTGGCTGTGCTGCAAAGCCTTTGGTGGATCTGGACTGTCCACGGCCCTTCTGCAGTTGGGTCCAAGAAAGCCTGAGAATTGATGGAGATTGGTCTGATCGACTGACTTGGGATTCCAGGAGGTCTTTCCTTGTGGCAGCAGAGAGGAGGATCCCACTCCCAAGGGCCTGAAGAGCTTTTCATGGTCTTCAGTAGAAGCTGCTTCCCAGCAAGGAAGTCCCTAAGAATTTAGACTGGAGAACTAGTTCTAGGGGATGAATCTCACACCAACTTCCCACTGCTGCTGGACTGGGAGATGAGAGCATATGGATACATCACAGTGGCCTCTGGTGCAGTTTATTTACAATAGGATTCAGTGCTGGAGAACACCAGGATATTAACAAGCAGGAAACACACTAGGAGGAAAAAAAAAGAGAGTGGAAGAAAGATCCCATATTAAAATACAAGTATTCTCTGCAGATTCTGCAATACCCTAAACTTAGCTGCAAAGTCCTTTAGTCTTCTCCCTCTCTTCCATCAACCTACACCATATGCTTTCACTGGACTTAAAATATGCAGTTCCCAGTCCTGCATTCCTACTGTTTCATCCCCAAAGATACTGGCTAAAGGAAGAAAAAGGAAGAGGTCATGCAGCAATAACTCTTTAGCATTGCTAGTCTAGTGTCATTCTGGGGCTTCCAGTTTTTGTTGGGGAATTCTTAGCTAAAAGCAGGAAGACTTCTCAGGATTATACCACTCACCTGAAATATGATCCTAAAACACTTTCTCTGAGGTTTAACTAAGACTTTGGGAGTTTTTCCACTCAACCTTATCAGTCACACCCTCCTCTCACTGCTGATCACATAGGCCTGGCTTCCATAGTTCATTTTGATAGGAAAACACATGGGATAAGTACAGAAAGTCTGGAAAGTGAAGTACACAGCTTTATCTGCCTCATCTCATCAATATTTCTTAGCCAAAGAAGTGTGATGGAAGTTGTTTGCAAGGCCTTGATTACTTAAATAAAATATTATTTAAGCTAAATGCCATAAAATTTGTCATTTTCCTTGCCTGGAAGGTTATAAAGGAAGGAATCAGCTTTGCTCCTCCTCTCCAAGGGGGAGAAATTCAGAGGGACATGAGAAATTCAGAGGGAACACACAAACATCAAATGCATTAATGGCTGTGACTCAGAGCTGTTTGTTTACCTGTGGTTTTTAGCATTATGCCAAAATTCCAACCTCCCACCTTGAGAGCCAAATTGGCAGCAGGAGCAAAAGTTCTGCTCAAGGGCAGCACAGCTCCAGTTTCCCTGAATCCTTACCACTGGAATCCTCCGATGGGCTCTGTAAACCTGTGACGGATCAGAAATGTTGCAACAGCTTCAGCGACCTGAGGGAACGGGGAAAAAAAATGGGGCAGGATTTAAAGGGGCACAAAGAGAACAAGAAATTCAGGCAATTTTCCAAACCTGCAGTATTCCCAACAAGAGTTCACGTCCTTGGGGGTCTCTTGCTGAGTCAAGTTTGTTCCTTTAAATAAGAGCTCTGTACAACATGCTTATATATATATATATATACACACACACATATATATACATACATATATATATAAATATGTAAAATGCTTCCACCTTGACTCTGACACTGATCTCACAATCAAGAGCTGACCAAACTTTTTCTCCACCCTTTTCAGTAATTCTTAAAACAAGGTCTGGTAAAACCACAATGCAAGTTATTCCTATAAAGAACAAAGGAAGACAATAACATGACAGCAGCAATAATGGAATGGTTTGGGGTTGGAAAGGACCTTAAAGCTCACCCGGTTCCATGGGCAGGGACACCTTCCACTAAACCAGGTTGCTCCAAGCCCCATCCAGCCTGGCCTTAAACACTTCCAGGGATGGAGCAGCCACAGTTTCTCTGGGCAACCTGTGCCAGGGCCTCACCACCCTCACAGGGAAGCATTTCTTCCCAATATCCCAGTATCAGTACGTTTAGATAAAAATACCTATTTCAGACTGTGAAATGAAGCACAGAAAGGCTGAGTTTTACAGTCACAGCTGTCAGAGCTTTAAAACAGACATGTTCCCAACCACATTCCTGCTTCTGTGTGGACACTAATTCCAGCAGTGCCCAGAAGCAGCGCTGCTCCGTCAGTCTGAAAGTTGTTTCAGGAACATTTGGTTTCCATTTGGAAAATGTGAGCCACTCAATTCAACAAAACACAGACCAACCCCTAAAGCTGCAGCTTGGTGCATGGGATAGTGGGGAACTGCATGAGGAAAGGCAGGGATAAGAAATCCACACTGGGAAGAATTAGGTACATCCCGCACCCAGCATGTAACATCTTAGCCCAGGCTTTCCAGCCAGCTTCAAACTCCAAGCTATTTGTGAAAAGCCAGCTGTCGTGCCAAAAAAAAAATACCCCTCTGCTCCATGGTAAAGAACAGATCCCTTTTGCATTTAACCTGGGGAAGACAGAGTAGCTTTAATCCCATGGTGGGGCTCACCTTGTCTGGAGCGTCTTCATGGACTGCATGGCCACACTGTGGGAGGACCTGCATCTGGAACTTCCCTGTGGATCAAGAGTCAGCACATGGATCTCACATTCTTTGCCAAGAAATCTCACTAAATGCATCTGGCAAAGAGGGACCAGGGAAGGCATGGAAGTCTGGGCAAACTGTACAAGACAAACAGGAGATGGGCTCCAAAGAAAACACGGATCAGCTGCATAATTCGTGTTCCCCAGGTGTAATTAGAGCTGGTTCCCAGGAGTTAAAATGAAGTTAAACTTCTCAGAGTTTCTCAATGCAACTTCTTTCAGAGTTGGAACTGTTATAAATCTATCTTATAGTAACATTTATCCTGCTATCCAATACTATTTTCCAGTACTGGTTGCTCTGGAAAGCTGGGATTGGTTAAAAAACCAGCCCAAATCCCAAAACATTAATGAAGATGCTTAATCTTGGTCTGATGTCTGCCAAAAACACCAGGAGATGGGACAATTTTAGATGGTTGCAGGTGTGCTGCATAGGAACATCAGGAATATAGATAGAAAGGGGAATAATGGACTAGAAAGAAGCCCTCACACACAGTGGGATCCAAGAGAAATGTGGGAGCTCCACTGCTGGAACACTGAACACTGGACTGAACAAAAATTCAGCTTCTTCCTCCTCAACTTCCCCACCTTTCCTCAAGCACAGGAGTTAAAGAACACTTTGGGATGGGCTAATTCTTTAATGCACATTTGTCTGGATATAGACTGTACCCATAGCAACAAGCTGTCCTCTAAAACCAGCATTACAGTAAGGCTGGAGTAACAATAGTAAATATTTACCTTGCATCTGCCCAATGGTCAGATCTTTATCCAGCCTGTCAACACCTGCAATCAAACAAACAGATATATTGGAGAAAAGCCAGAGAGAACACCACTGCATTTTGAAAGAGACATTAGCTTGGAAAACACAAAATAAACACGTCTGCCACCCATGAGGACATTTCACTGCTGCACCTCGAGAGAGTGAGGTGACAGTGAAGAAACACAGCCAAAAAATCCAAGAGCACATCCCTCTCTAAACTTCAAAGGAGATTTATCTTAGTTGCACACTTTACTTCCTACTAAGGTACAAAAAGGGCCTATAGCTCTATCTGACTTTCACTTGAGGAGTTGAAATCACACCACAGTATTTCAAAAGACATGGAAAAGCCAACGTGGAAGAGGCAAGTTTGCTATTCCCAGAGAAACACAGCAGCCAAATGTTGACCCTATTCTCTTAAATACAAGTGGGGTGTCACTGAACACCTAAACAGGACTGGGAGAGACACCTACCAGCTAAAAGCAAAAGCTTTGGAGTGGGACAGCTCAGGAAGAGGTTGGATAAACCCCTGAACCAGCCATCCCAGTACTTCTCTGTTTTAGCCAGTTCAATCCGCCACGTGTATAAATGCTCCTTCTTTGTCTGCAGGGAGGAGAGAGAGAGTTCTGCATTAGTGATCAGGAAAACAGCAGGAAGAAAATGAACTCAGGGAGTCACTTGGAAGTGCACATATATATAAATATACATAAAAATACTGGCTCCCTCTGGTGGATCACACACGGCCAGGGGATTACCCTCCCTCCTCCAAATTTCTTTCCAAATCACAGTCCAACTACACGAGTAGGGAACAAAAAAGTCAGCAAGAGCTACACCAAGAGCAGAAGAGCCTTCAAGACAAGGGTGAGGAACTCGGGGTAATCAATTTGCTATTTTTTACTAACACAAATAGCTCACAAATTGTTTCAACGTTCAGACTTGGAGTTTTCCATCCCTGGAGTTGCTCCTTTTCAAATCAGAATGATCTGGATAATTACTGGTGCCTACTCTTGCAGGGGAAAGTGAAAACACAGCAAGAAACTCCCCACCTCTGTGTCATCTTCTTTCTTCCTTTTGTTGACAGAGCCTCCCCCTTCCTCATCCTCATCCTCTTCCTCCTCCTCCTCTTCAATAATTCCCTCCACTATGGCTTTAGGACATTCAGGACTGGCAGCCCCTTCACACCTGTGGAAATAAACCCAGAAACTGATTCCTTGCCAAAAGAAAAAACTCCAAACCAAAAAAACCACCCAGAATTCAATTTAAAGTGTTCAGAAATTTCTCAGGTATTGGCTGAAAAAAAAACCCTCAAGTTTAGAAGGAGCTGTGGATGAAAGACTGGGATTGAGTGAATGTGCAGCACATGTATCCCTGTGCAAACAGAAATGCCAACAGCTCCTTAGATGAGGCAGAAGTTGTCAAAAAACCAACTTAAGCTTTTCTTAACGGAGTGTGAGACATTTGTAAAGGCTTCAGGTATGTCAAGGATTCAAGTGCCACAAGCAGGTTACTCTGATCCATCCACCACCTCAGATCACTCCTCAGGTAACACTTATTTCTTAAGGTGTGCAGCAAGGCAGGAAAACCAAGGAACACACAACAGTTAAACTTTCTTAAACACAGTGAATTTCTTTTAAATCTTTGTGGGTTTTGCTCAAAGAAATTTTCCCTTTCACATGCACTCAGGTAGCAAATATTTATTGTAAAACAGACTAGGTGACTTTAAGAACTCCAGAAAAATAAATAAATAAAATAACCCCAAAGCAACCTACTGTTTGACTTGACCGACCATAGAAACTCTGGCAGATTCGAGATTTCTTATTTGTCCACTTTTTACACTAGAAAAAAATAATAGGAGAGAAATATTTATTGAAGAGATTCAGGAACCAGCAGGTCCAGAAACAGGAGCAAAATCCCTGCACAGTTCAAGATTTCCTCAAACCGTTCCCAAACCCTGTTCTCAGAAGGAATTTGGAGTGGCTCGTGCTAAATGTCAACTTCAACCACCCCCGCCCCATTGTCGCTGTAACTGTGAATTTAAGATTCATGTGGGAAAAGTGCTGGTGGGGAAACAAGGAAGACAAGTGATTTTAGAGACTAATCCATCCCTTACCTCCACTCAATGGCATTTTCAAGTGACTTGAAAGTTTTGGGACGACTTCTCAGGAAGTTCTGCATGCTGTTCAATGCATCCATGGCTGTTCCTAAAAGCAAGTATTACAGCTTTGTGGCATCTGATGAAATCATTGCCACATCCCTTTATACAGAACTGGTTGCAACACCTTCAGAGAGAGCTGGAGCTCCCCCCGGGGATTTAACGTTGTTAAGGCAAGTACAGTGTTCCTAAACCAATGGTCATTAGTGGAAAATTAGTATTTGAAAAGGTAGGACATTCAGATAGTAAGATAAGAAGGAATCATTAATTAGCACCAGGCATTATAGGAAAAGCCACCCTTTTCCCCACTAAAAAGAAAGTATTTCAAAGCAATTAGCAGGAAAAAAGTGAACAAGGGAAAAGGAGAAGGAAGAAGGGAGAAGAAGGGAGGGTCATACAGGAAAGATTTTTGTGCAGGCAGGATTTTTTAGGAGGATAGAATTGGTTTAAAAACTGGGCAAAACTTTCTGTATCCAGGGGATTTGGGGCTAAAGGAAAAAGTAGAAGGGGTAAGCCCAGCCAAAGGGGTGGCAGGCCATCTGAGGGAACCCATCACTCACCTTCCACGACATCGATCATGCACAGCCCCAGCAGACTCGGCACCAGGTTTGCGACCGCCGTGTGCACCGCGATGGCCCCCCCCATGCTGTGCCCTATCAGCATGATGGGGGGGGGGAGGTCCCCATACAGAGCTTCCACCACATTCCCAACGTCTCTGCCAGGGGGAGAGCAAACCAGGGTTGGCATCTCCACCTCCACACGAGGAGAAAGTACCGATCCCAGAGAGATTTCTGGCTCCAAACTGTCTTTTAACCCACAGGGAACAAGTTTATTCTCCTGTCACTGCTTCATCTCGGTATCAGTGAAGGAAATCCTTCAAATCAATGCTTTCCTGAACATCCATGAAATTTCCGCTTTTATTAACAGAAAGTTCTCATTTAGAAGGTACCCATTTAAAAGATACCTATTTAAAAGAAATTAGAGCAACCCACTCCACTGGAAGGTGTCCCTACCCATGAGGAGATGAGCTTTAAGGTTCCTCCCAACCCAAATTTTGTGATTCCTCAAGGAAATCATTTTAGGTTGACATTTGCTGGTGGGAATGTTAAATAAAAGGTGAGGAAAAAGCTGTCAAATCCTCTTGCATGGAAGCACAGAGCAAGAAATTCATTGTTCTGAAAGAATTGTTTGGAATTAGAGGGAGAAAATAACTGAACCAACTGACCAAGGCAAAGATGAACAATACTGGGCATGAGCAAAAAGATTGACTCTCTACGAGCACAGATATCACAAGGCAAGGGGCAATTTCCCCATCTTTTCCATAAGGAACCTTCTTAATCTGAAGCTGTGACTTCTCGACACTTTCCCAGGATGGGAAAGCTGGATGATGTGATCCTCAACCCCCAAAACAGCAGCAGAGCTAAGGGTTGAAATCTACTGAAGAGCACTGTAGTTTGAAGACATCCCAGTTTCTTTCCTGACTACAACCATTCTGAGGAGCCTGAGCACTGAGCAGTACTGAAAACACAAAAGAAGGGAAAAAATAGGTTGACTGGTTTGTTTGCTCTGCTAGAGAAAACTGCTCGAGGATTTGATTTAAAAGAGTAAGGATAAAGCCAGCACTAACTTAAGGCTCCTATTTAAAAGATATTTAGGATTAACTTGCAAGCTCATTACTAAGAGAAGGGAAAGGTCTGAAAACAAAAGGGACTTGTTTTCCCCACACAGTGGTGCTGCTCTGGACTGAAAACATTCTAATTATTTCATCAGGCATGTCCTCAGGACAGCAACACATCAGGGCCTGACAAGGCATAAGCAGCAGGAATAAGGTACACAATGGAAGTCAGAATCCATTTCACACATGGCCTCCCCACAACAAACCAAGTGGATTTGTCCATGGGAAGGTTACAAAATCCTTCATGATTTAACTGTTGGGGTAGCAAAGAGTCTCTTTGTACTAAAACCAGGCAGAGCATAATGTGCTTTACAGTGGGTATTTGCTTTTCTTACAGTTTTGTCAAGAGGGGGATTTGCATACCAAAGCAGGTCGTGGTAGTTGGAAAAAGCAACCCTCTCTGTGCTTGAAAAATCTCAGTCTGTGACCCAGACTTTGGGGGTGTCACCAGTCCAAGGTGGGTCCACTCTGAACACTCGCTCCAGGAACTGAGGGAGAGCCAAACTGGTGATTTCAGGTTAAAATCCCCCCAGGAATCTCCAAGGAAAGCATTCCCCTGCTATTACAAACTCTCTAGCAAGCGTTGTAGGCTTAAAGTGCTCTCTGATGAGAAGCCACTGAGTTACAAACTGAGGGAACCCCGAGAATGGCTCCAGTTTGGAATCTGACTTCAAACTGTCCCAAAAAGGAAGGAAAAGATGGGATAACTACCAGAATCACATGAAATGAAATCTCCCAGCTCTCTGAATGAATGTTTTATGTCCTCGACTAGTTTACTGTTCAATCAAGGAAAGACAATAAGAGGTTTGTGAAAAGAAAAATGAGCATAAACTTCCTTACTTGGACATAGTTTCTGCAGACAGATCTTCAGGATTCCTAACTTTTGTTTCTCCTAGAAAAGAAAAAAAACCAACCCCAAGTTAAATGCACTTCAGTTGAAAACCTTCAGGCCCTCTCAGGACTCAGAGCACGGAGTGTACAAAGCTTTTTGGCACAGATAATAACAGTGAGTCTACCGTACTGAACATAAATAATTAAGAAACACAGAATTAATAGGAACAGTTATTGCAGTTATGGGTTGGAAATACTGCCCATAACTGTGCTGTATTTGCAACGTATCTTAAAATTAAAGAACAGCCCTTATTTCTCATGGAAAAAATCACCTACAGGTCATGGAAATAGAGAGGAAGGAGTTGGTGGAAGGAACAAACCAACCACTGCCTTGCACAGAAGTTCAGGGAGTCTCAGCTCCTGGCAGAAGCCACTTTTCCATCCTCGCTTTGAATAAAAATTGGGATGCCTTAAAATGCTTTCTTCGTCATTTTGGGAGGAATTCACTACACCTTTAAAAAAACAAGCGTAACACACCGATGTGATCCCAGGTTTATTTATCTGACTTACCATGGCCTCGGAGATCCAAAGCCACGATCCTACACTGGATCCTGTTAATGATTGCAGACTGCAAGGAGGCACAGAGAGTGTGGGATTAGCGACATCAAGCACTCCCTAAAAACCCTTCATTGCCAACAGAGTGGTTGAACCCGCACTGGACAAGGTGTTACAGAGAGCAAGCAAGACTGTTCCATAAAATTACCCTTAATAAACCAAAAGCTCCATCCATGCACTGCTAATGAGGACATTTATTTCCCTGGGCATCAAACATTATAAACACTCATCAAATCATGAATTCAAGCTCTGCAGCACCTCTGAAAACTGAAACAGCAGTGGGATTACAGACACCAAAGGAATTCCCTCCCTCTCCAAGCCCCAGATGGTACAGAATTAACTCCTGGCTGCATGGTTGACATGAAGATGAAGCAGCTCCTTTGCACCACATGTTCAGTTTGCTCTCAAACAACAGAATTTTACAGGTTGAAATGTATAAAAATTGATTAGTCCAAAGAGGTCAGGGGGAACAAGTGAGGAATTTTTTTTTAAGGTAAAGTAGGCTCTATTTGTTGTTGGCAGATCAATTTAACTAAGTTATTTCAGATATCACAGAGATTAAGTGGCATTCTTTGTTGACAGGAAGACCTCTGCGTTAAGCAATCATTGATTATTTAAATAACAGCCCTGCAGGAATGGGGAAATTTGCTGAGGAATTCTTAATAGAACCACCCACATAAATGCCAAAAGCTACCCAACTCTTTTATTTTGATTTTTCAGTTATTCAGCTCCTAAATGGCTGCAGCAGTTGCTCTTCCAAAACCCACTGAATCCAGAAGTTAATTTTTTCCAGCCCCTAAAGACACTACAAACCCACCATCTGCAAGGTGCTGATGCACCATAGCAATAATTTAACAGAGGTCTGCTGCTAAAAATCAGACTATTGTTAGTAGGCAGCAAGGAAAGAGGATCATGGTGTGATGTGAGAAAGTGGAAGGACTTCCAGTGCCCTGAGTTTTATCCAAATTTATCCAGACTCATCGCCAAGAAGTTCCTGCTCAAACAGCAAGAGAAAAGAGGAACACACTGCTCCTGCAGGTTGTTATTTTATTTACAGATGATTACCCTCAATGCTTCTCAAATTGTGTTGTTTTTATTTTGAAGGAGGGGTTTGGGTTGGTTTTTATAAGCTCTGGTTCATCCTAAATATTTAACACTTGATTGTTTGGAACAAATTCATTCCAAAATGCACGAAGAACATAATTCTGTAGCAGGTGTTAAAACTAACAAATATTACAGACACCAGAATTACAGTCCAGTTGGAAAAGCATTTTTCTGGTATGTCCCATCATATTATAAGATAGTTTCTGGTTAGATCATCAGGATCACTCCACAATCCTGTTGGGAATTTAAGAGCAATGACTCCAGCAAAATGGTCATTCTTGGTAGCCTTTAAGCAGAGACTGAAATGAAGAAGTCACCAACATGTCATTAAATTGTTAAAAGGTATTAAATGGCACAAGGAAAACATGGAGGTGTCCCAATTCCATGTAAGTCATCCTATTATCTGTTAAGGACACCAGAGAGCTCAAAGATTTGCTGGATTGAAAAGGTCCTAAATAAACATCCAACACAGCAAGGGATTTTTACTTTATTTGAAGTCTTCAGTTTTCTTCCTTAACTCCATTTTTCAAAGGGAATGGGTGGGATGGAGGAATTCTGGCCTGGTCAGTCCCCACAGCCACTCGTGGTTGGCACCACCTCAGTTTTTGTTCCAGAGAGTTTCAGAGAGTGGCTTGAGCAGCAAAGGAGGTTTCTCAGCAGGACCTCAACCACACAAAGATAATATTGTTATTATCTTTTCTAATATTGTTTTCCTGTGTTTCCCAGAGCTGAATCCACACTCACACAGTAACAGTTCCACACACATTTGTTTCTCTCAAGCAGCAGTTTTACTTACAGTAAACACAGCCCAGGACAGGGCAGAGTGGCCTCCACCGTGTAACAGCAGCAGGACAGGTCCCTCCAACCCGCTTTTGTAAATTCGAAAAGTGTATGAACAGTTAAGGGCATTCCAGAGAGTTACTCAGAGTCACTTGGATGTGTTTTGGAGCCTGCAATACCCAATACTGTTTTATTTCTACCCTTGTGTACTCATTTGCCCCTCTGATTACGTTCAAGCATTACCCGGACAAAACGTAACTGAATTTAAGCTTCAAGAGTTGTTTTCCGCCTGCCCAGTTTTTCTCCTCCCTGTAATTCCCACATCTCCCACCCCCACCCTTTTCCCCCTGTGCACAACAGTGAATTGAACAATGGAGAGAAAACTAGAAAGCCACTAAGCTGACACAGGGACTGGAGCCCCTCTGCTCTGGAGCCAGGCTGGGAGAACAGGGGCTGTTCAGCCTGGAGGAGAAAAGACTCCAGGGAGACCTCAGAATCCCTTCCAGTGCCTAAAGGGGCTCCAAGGGAGCTGGAGAGGGACTTTGGACAAGGACCTGGAGGGACAGGACAAGGGGGAATGGCTTCCCACTGCCACAGGGCACTGTCAGATGGGATATTGGGAAGAAATTCTTCCCTGTGAGGGTGGGGAGGCCCTGGCACAGGTTGCCCAGGGAAGCTGTGACTGCCCCATCCCTGGAAGTGCCCAAGGCCAGGTTGGACAGGGTTTGGAGCAACCTTGGGATAGTGGGAAGTGCCACTGCCCATGGCAGGGGGTGGAACTGGATGAGTTTTAAGGTTCCCCCCAGTCCAAATTACTCCAACAGGTCACTGGGGCAGAGCAGAGGGCACCAACTCACCCATTAATTCAGCTGCTTCCACAGTTCACATCTGCCCAAAACGTTTCAAACAAAGCTGAAGCTTCTCTAAAGGGAGCAGAAAAAATCCCAAATAACTAAGATTTGCTTAAATTTGGGATGTTTATAGGCACAACCCATCCAAATAGATCTATTATGCTTTTTATTTCATATCGGGGCCTCAGGGGACTGCACATTAAACACAGCCAAGGTGCACATCATGAATCATGGAATCATCATGGAATCACAGAATGTCTTGGGTTGGAAGGGACCTTACAGCTCACCAAGTTCCACCCCCTGGCATGGGCATGGACACCTCCCACTAGACCAGCTTGCTCCATGCCCCGTCCAACCTGGTCTGGAATCCTTTTGAGGGCTGGGGCATGAAGAATCCATGGGATCAACTGGACAAATCTGTAATGAAAAGCTGTGCAAAACAACAAGGACAGAGAATTCTCTCATTTCAAAGCATCCTATGCTACTGGGATTATAGGAGTAATTACTAAATTGGTATTTGGAGAGAAATAGCCTGAAAGTTTGGTTTTCCTAATCGTGGAGAAGAAATAGCTGCAGAAAAAAAACTGGCTGGCACTGCCAGAAGACTCTGATGGCATCGCCACCTCGGCCAAAAATTTCGAAGTACTTATCAACATCTAAGTGTTGATGTCGAGGCTGACCTGTTGTCCTGCTGAAGTTGTTAATAAAAAAATCAATAAGCAGCTTTGATCCTTATGGGGTTTGAATGATGGGAACCTGCTGAGTGTTTCCCTGCAAACAAAGGTATCGAGCTGTTGGAAATACTCCTTTTAAATGAATGATGACTAAAGAAACAACGGCCTTGCCCGGAACAGCTTAAAAGGGATAGTTCTAGTATGGAGCCCTGCAAGGGACATAATGGATGAGGATGAGAAGAAACACATGAAAAAGCTGAAGAGAACCCCAATAAACATGTGATACCACCCCAGTCACTGAGATTATGACAAGTGAAATCTGCGAAATAAAAGGATATATCCTTGCCAGTGTCGTTTTCCACCACTACATCCTCCATAGATTCAAAGTACTGGCTCCAAAGCACTGGTGAAAAATCCCTCTTTCTTCCGGGGCTGCAAGACAGAAAAAAAAAAATCCCTGAGAAAGGAGTTATTTTTAAAATCTTCCACTGCAATTGGCATCCAGGCTTCCCTCCATCCACCGAAGAGAACACGCTGGTGTTATGCAACAGTTCAGGACTGGAAGTGAAATTCCCACACAACAATATTAAGGATTTTATGGTCAGTGAGGAAATCCTTCCTTTTTTCCCCTAATTGTTACTGCTGCTGAGGAGAACTCGTGGAAACACAGAGAGAAGAGTATTTTCCTCATCAAATAATTCCAAGGAAGACTGAAAAACAGTGATTTAGACTACACTAAGCCAAGGGAAAATAAAAGGAACACGGAATACAGACATGCCATCCCAGTACAACCTCCCAGTTTGCAGGTGCTTCAAAACAGAGTCAAAAGTCATTAAATACTTTGTAATTTTGCTCTGGCCTTGAGGCAAACATGACACTCGCATGGCTGGGAGTATTCCAGAGCCTGGAACACAGGAAGCCATCCCAAATTTATGACTCAGCCCGTGAATCATAATTTAAAAAAAAAAAAAAAAGAATATGTTGTTCTCAGAAGTCACCTTGACCCACAGTATTGAAAAGCAGTGTCAGATATTTACTGAAGGTTATTACTTTACCACCTACTACCTGGCACAGATTATAACATTCCTAGAAATCCCCTCTAATTTTTGGAAGAAGTAACATTCAAATAGAAAGTCAACCTCTTCCAAAGTCTGGTGGAAAAACTATGGATAGAATTGAAGAGTGTGGTATAAATGAAAATAATTTATAATTTATAAATTACATTTTAAATTTAATTTATAAATTAATTTTAAAATTTAATTTATAAATCAAAAACGCTATTGGAAGCAGAATTAAAAAAAAAATTCACCCACCAGGTTTAATTTCACAGCAGCAAGTTTTAATTACAGCTCAAGTGTTGTGGAATTTATTGTGACAGTCAAAAATCTGACATATTTGTAAAGAGTATTTAAAATGGGAGGTAGGGCAACATCAGGAACATGAAGGGAAGAGAGAAAGCAATTAATTCATTTTGTGCTTCCACATCTATCCTGCCTCAGTTAAGTATAAAGGACCATGGGAAAACGTCACCATAAAATAGAACAAACACTCCTCAAAATGCTGTTTTCCATGTCCTTAGAGCTCTTCTACAGGCAATTTCCTGGGAATCTGACAATATCCTATCCTAAAAATACTCCATTAAGAAGGATGCTTTCAAGTCCAGCAATGCAGGTAAAACATATTGAGGTTATATTTATTAAAACAAAAAATTCAATTAATTTTAAAAGGTAGGATTTTTAAAAACTATTTTAAATTAAGGATCGTAATGACCAAACTGTGTAACACAGATGCTGGTGGAGTATTTCCACACCAGGATGGTGGACTTGGAGTGATGAAAAACTAGGATATCAATGCTACTACCTGTGGCCACTTCATGTCTAGGAATTACCTTTGGCCTTTTCATGTAACCTGGTGTCTTCTCCCACATGCTCAGGGAACAATAACTGAACAAAGGCAGCAAACACCTCCTGGTTTTCCCAGGAAAACACTTCCAAACTGTGAATTACAGTCGTTATTCCCCATCTCCTCTTTGCAATAATTTCTGCTGCAGTTTTCTGGTGGTTACATCACAAAGCACTGCAACAAATTACCCCTTAACCGAGCCGCTCCTGCAGCAATAACGTCAGGGCATATCCAGCACTCTACGGAATGCAATCCCCCTAAATTATCACTAGGCCCGTGGACATCCCATTAGCCAACTCTCAAAGGTGCCCAGTTGCAAAAAAAAAACCAATTTATCTTTCAAGAGGTGCAGCTGTGCCCTCTCCTTGTATCCCCATTTCCAACAAAAAGCTCCGCAATCAGAATTTTCCTGATGACTCAGTTGATGCAAAATCTGGTTCTCGGGCTGCTATTCACTCAGGAAGGCTAAAAGAGTAGGGCTTAATTTTGGAAGTGGCATAATTAGGCTGCATTCGAGCCCAGGATGAGTAACTGCACCATTTTAACTGTGTTTTTGCACTTCAACTCATCTGAGGGAAGAAAACAGGCAGCACAGAATATTAAAATCCAGCATGGGCGTGAGGGGTGAAAGACCTTCCCAGCGGAGAAATGCCCGTGGAAGGAGATTTCTCCCGAATTCACGGTTTCCTAAGGAAATAGAACAGAACAGGCAAAGTAGCTTCTGGATTTTGTAGAAACAGAACTCCTATTTCCCCTTGTATTTCTAGAATATGAAACATAAACCCGCTGCTCCCTGAATCCCAGGATGAAATTTCCACTGTGGGTTTCCAGACCTCCTGTCAAATTTCAGTTAAATAAAATGGGAGGGGTCAGCTACATAAATCCAGAAAATATTAATCTCTTTTACTGCCTCAGCTTAATCTCATGCTCTGATCAAGAAAAAAAATCACATTCAAACCTTAATTTTTTTCCCTGGAAGCCATCCCAGCTCTGCTCATGTGCTCTCTCCACACCTTTCTGGTTCTTTCTGGAGATGCAAAGAACTTCTCACGGCCTGGATGAATTCCCTTCTCCCATTTTTGAACAGGTAAGAAATAAACTCCACCACCCTTTTAAAATGCAGCATTTCAGCTGCAGCCAGACTTTTCCACAGCGTGTTTGTTATGGTTGGATTTAGGTTTGATTTTCCTGAGGAATTCCAGGTGATTAGGAAATATCGTTGTGTGGTTACACCCCTTCCAACATAATCCGTAAACCCGGTCAACAGCAGGAACTCCTGGGAACCACCTGTATCGTGATAGCAGAAATTTTAAGGGAATTCTCTTCTCCCTAGGGGAGGCAGGACATGGGGAAGCTCCTGATTATGCCATGGAAGAGTTCTGGTTGTATGACAAGTTATTGAATTTTTCTGGAAGAAGGGCTTTAGGATGGACAGCCAGGGAATCCATAAATATGTGGGAGATGCATGAAATCACACAACTCCTCAGTAGCACAAATTTGGGATATTTAGCCTCAAAATTAATGACAATAAAAAGCAAGAAATGAACTTCTTGCTGCTGCACACCAAGGCCACGAGACCAAGCTGCAAGGACACAAAATACCTCCCAGATGGCCACAGGCTCAGGGTCTGCCCCAAACAGCAAACCCCAGGGTTTTACCATCCAATCAGATCTTTAAGCACTCGAGGCTGCCATGGGGAATATGAAGCACAGCACTAACCAAAATCACCAAACCCTGCAGCTGGATCGATAAATTAGGGGCACAACTGGAAGAGGATCCAGAGAAGTACAGAAATAATCCAGACTGGAAAACGGGGCATAGAGCAAGAAGCTTTACTGGGATGGGTAAATTAAATTAACTCAGAAGCTGCTTGGATTGAAGGGGATTTTTAGCTTGTTTTCCCAAGCAGATGATTTGAGAGACCCTGGAGAACCTGGTATCAGTCTCAAGCCTCTTAGACTGGCCTGGAGCAGCTCCCTTTCTCCTGGAAAAAGGTTTCCCAGTTCCTGGGAGCTCTGATACACAATCCCTGGACCACAGAACAAACCTGTGAGGTTTCTTCTCCATTCTCCCTGGGAATAGATCCAGCTTTTCAGAGAACTCCAGACTGATTTGGGTTGGGAGGGACCTTAAAGCCCATCCCATTCCAACTCCCTGTTATCCCTCCCTTCCATTGGTCCAAACCCTGCCCAACCTGGCCTTGAGCACTTCCAAGGATGAGTATTTTTGTGTCTCCTTCCATTTCTGACAGCAGAGATCCAACGCTAAAATTTCCAAGCAGGAGGCAGGCAGATGGTAATACCACGACAGATCCATGGAGAGCACCTCAGGAATTGCAAGAGGTATCCATGAAACCAAAGCTGAGCCCTTCCCCGGGAACTCGCCCTACTGATGGATTCAGCAGCTTCAAGTTCAGCTTCAACTTCCACAAGAGTTAACACCTCCAGGGAAAACCTTAATAGTCGAGTGACAAACATGGAATATCTGGGGAAAAGATTTCACAAGAATTCCTATGTTTGCAAGGGAATTGGAGCAGAAAGTGAAGAGGACCTGGGAATTAAAAACTGTTGTCACCTCTGATGCAAATACATAATTTAAAAAAAAAAAAAACCAAACCTCCCAGCAATGCTGAAACATAAAATAACCTCATATTTAACACTGAACCCTTCCCCACAAAGGGCAGACTAAATGTGGAGTTTTCCACAAAATCCCAAGTGACCACGGGGGGTGGAAAACATTTCTCCCGAGAAAAGAATGAGTATCTTTGATTTTGAATTTATCCAGAGCTGCCTTTTTTTAGCGCAACACACACTCAAAATTCAAAATTAGAAGCGCACCCATCAAACAGCTGCTGTGGGTTTGCACCTTCCTCTGCTGAAGCAACATTTTGTTGACCAAATGTTTGAACTGACACAACTAATGAGTGCTTTTTAAAGGACCCAGCAAACCAAACCAGAAATGGGTGCCACAGAATAATTTTTCTGGAACGATCCTTAAACTCCAGCACTGTTAAGCTGGAATTACAGAACACATCCCGGGCACCTTCTGCAGCTGTTTTATCCCACTGTGAACTGAACCTTGGAAGGATAAACTCAGCCTAAGCTAAACTCTATCCCACTTTTTCTTGGCTACTTTCTATACAAGCCACAAGCCCCTCTGGACGAGGCCATTCCATGTTGGGAATGGAAGCCAAAAATACAACTGTGCCACGCAACACAACATTGTTATGGACTATTCCCTGCTACTTCCAAGAGGAAGAATTCCAGGGGAATTCTTGATCCTTAAACCAAAACACCAGGTTTCATATCAGTGCTCTCAGGAAGCATTTGAAAGGGAAAAAAAGCTTTATAGGACAACAGAAAGCAAATTTTCCTTCATGAATCCCCTAATGGTGTTTCAAAACTCTCCAAAGTGCAGCAAGACAGGAAGAACTACATAAATTAATATATAAAATTGCTACTAATGAGCATAAATATCTCTAACTTGTAAAAAAAACCCAACACACAGGTATCTATAAAACCCTTTGAAAAATCCCTGGAAATGCCCATTAGATGTTTGTTTACCTGCAATGAGCAAATGAAGTGACAAATACATGGGGGGTTGATTTGTCAGCACCTCGTTAAGTCAGTAACTTAAATGCCTTTCGTTTTGTGGGGTTTTCTAACAAAAATTATCACAAGGGTTGATGGAGCGTTGACAAAGTTTACAGTGCATGAAACCTGTATAAAGCACACTCAAAACCACACAGAATAGCTGTGAAGGACGAGTTAACAAGAGGAAGAGTTAAAAACTTAATTTCTTCATCTAAACCAGGAAAACTGTGCTCGGCAGACTTTGCTTGGTGAAGCCTGTGAACAACAGAGCCAGCAAGATTAAATAATACATTTAACACCGAGTCTAACTTGGTATGTCCACGTAACCCTCAGCACACTCCTGTGAAATCCAAGTCTCCCCACGGCACCAACTGGGGAATTGGGAGCTTTGTGGCTTGCTCACAGCCCCACGTTTCAACACACCATAAGGAAACCCTTAATTCAGGTAACCAAGGGCCACAGGAGAGCAGACAACAGTCCTGAAAGAGAGAAAGTCATTCAAGCTCGCTTGTTTTCTAATTTCTAGGCATATCTCCTAAATGAAACCATAAACACAACTGTTTTGCTTAACCTGAAGGCCACGCCTTGGCTTTAAAATAAGCTTGGCTTTAAAATAATTCCCATTAAAATAAAGCACTGTTTGATGAAGATTTGGCAGCATTAATTCATGTCCTAACAACACCAATTGCATTCCATCCATCCAAGTATAAACAATGGATACCCCATAAATATGGATGGAAGTACAAAAATAATGTGAACCAACCTTTTAAAACCCTGTTTTTAAGGAGAGGAAAGTGATCCCATCCATAAATACCCCAACAGTTTATTTCCATTTTTCCAATAATTTCCATTATTTCTTTTAGTTATCTGATTTCCTGCATCAAAGCAGGTTTCCTATGGGAACTGTAGGATATTTTTATCCTCCTAATGGAGCAGGAATCTTGCAGAGTCCTGAGGTGGAGAGCACCAGAGCACCAAGCCCTGGTCTCTGTCACAAGCCAGACCTCAAATTCCATATTCTCACATCCCTGAAAACACATTTTCTCCAGATTTAATAAAACCTCAGTTTTTCTGATTAATTAAATTAGTCAAAGCCCCCATGTTTTAAATCTGCACCATCCCTGCCAGCTTCCTTTGCTTCCCTCTTCACCTGGAAACCCCCTCCCTCCAAACCAACCTGCTGCAAGATCCTGTTTTTCTCCTCACATCACAACAAGCTCCTCCCTCACACCTTTGGAGGCAGAATCAGAAAATTCCCTTCAAGAGTGTCCCGTTTGCAGCCCATTTTCTCTCTCGGACTCAGGGAATAAGGGCTGTTCTTGCCCGTTCTATCCTTTCTATTTGCCATCCACATCCTTAAGTCAGCTCCCAAAATGTGCTCTCAACTCATGCTCGAAATATTTAAGAGTATCCCAGATTTTCCATCACCTGGAGCAGGGATTTAAGTCCCTAGGCAGAGCTCACCTACTTCACAGGGAGACCTGCTGCTGAGAAATCCCATTTCACAGAATCACGGGACACCCTGAGTTGGAAAAAGGGACCCACCATAAGGATCATCAAAGTCCAACTCCGACTTAGGAACCCAATTCCCAGAAATTCTAACACACCTCTCTCCCCCAGCCACACTCTGAGGTACCAGCTGGGCAAGGTTCTCGACCCTCCCTCCCAAAACTGATGGCAAAAGGATTCGAAGGAAAGGGCTAGAGAGCAATCCCGGGAGGTGTCACTTCCCCCCAGCTCCGAGGATACTCCAGGCAGGGCCACCTTTGCCCGTTGCGGCTGGAGAAAACTGATCCAGGTGCTGCTCGTCCTGGAGCACCGGGAAGCAGGGCCACCCCTCCCTCCAGACCCCCCAGTGCGAGCCCCCCTTCTGGACTCCCCAATACGAGCGCCCCTCCCTCCAGACCCCCAACAAGCACCACCTCCGTATAACCCCCCCGATACGAACACCCCTCCCTCCACGTCCGCCAAAATGAATCCTCCTCCCTCCAGACCCCCAAAACAACCACCCCTGCCCCCAGAGCTCACCCCTGACCCCTTCAGCCGCCCCTGCCCTCCCCTGCCCTTCCCCCGCCTACCCCATGCGCATCTTGGAGCCGGACTGGCCGCCGCCGCCAGGCAACGGAGGCCGCGGCGAGAGGCGGCCCAGGTGCAGCTGCTTCTCCAGGGCCGACATGACGGCGAGGGACACACCGGGAATACCGGGATACGCCGGGATACACCGGGATACACCGGGATACGCCGGAACCCCCCAGCCGCCCCCGCCCGCTCCGCCCCGCCCCGCCGGAAGCGGCCTCCCTCGACAGCGCCGCCGCGCGGCACCAAGGGAAAGTGACGCGGGGCATCATGGGAGATGTAGTCCGAGGCTCCGCTGCGCTCTGCGGGGCGCGGTGCATGACGGGAGTTGTAGTCTACCGCCATGGCGGCTGTTGTGGGGCAGGATGCGGCACTGGAGTGGGGAACGAGCTGCCGGCCCAGGACCCGGCGTAGGAGAGGTGTGGAGAGGGATGGAAGGATGGAAGGGTTCTGGGATGTCACAGGGGAGACACGGGAGCTCGGGATTGCGGGGCGTAATGCGGGTCCCCGTGGCACTACGGGAAATGTAGTCCACAGCTCCGCCGTACCTTACAGGGCGCGGTGCATGACGGGAGCTGTAGTTCCCCGGGGCGAGGCTCCGGCGCTAGGCGGGCGGGGAAGAGACGTAATCCCGTGGCGCTCTGGGAAGTGTAGTCCGTAGCCGCGCTGGTCTCTACCGGGCGCGGTGCATGACGGGAGCTGTAGTCCCCGGGGGGGGCGGCCGTTGCCGGGCGGGAGGCGCGGGCGGGATGCGGCGGAGGGAAGGTGTGGAAGGGCATGGGATGGGATGGGATGGGATGGGATGGGCGGAGGGAAGGTTTGGAGGGATCCCGCGGGGATGGAACGGCGGCGGGATGGGGCGGAAAGCAACACGGGAGCTCGGGTCGCCGCTGACGCCGCCTGTGCCCGCAGGTGCCGGCGCAGCCCCCGCCACAACCAGCCTCCCTCCGCTCGTCCAGGGCCCGCCGCGCTGCTTCCTGCGCTGCACCGTGCCCAGGGTGGTCTGGGCGTCCCCCAAACCGCCCGTCCTCGTCCGCCTGAGGTGGTGGGGGGAGACCTCCGGCGGCACCTTGTTCCAGCCCGCCTCCCGTGCCGGGCATCCCGCCGGGAGAACCACCGCCCGCTTCCCGGTGCGCTGCGGGCCCCGGCAGCTCGCCGCCTACCTGGCAGGTAGGGACAGTTCGCGTGGGAGACCCGCAAAAGCCCAGGAGTTTATTAGGGGTGGGTTAGAACAAGGGGACATAGGCTTAGGCTGCACCAGGGGAGGGTCAGGTTGGACATCAGAAGGAATTTCCTCATGGAAATTTAACGGTTGTTAAAACATTGGAAGAAGCTGCCTAGGGAGGTGGTGGAGCCCCATCCCAGGAGGTGCTCAAGGAACGACTGGACGTAGTACCCAGTGCTCTGCTTTGATTCACGAGGTGGGGATCAGTCACAGGGTGGACTCGAGAGTGTCCAGAGGTCTTTTCCAACCCCAGCTGTTCTGGGATTCTGTGGGACTTGGTATTATTCATACAGGCATTTCAATGTCTAAAGGCATGGAAAATAGAAAGGTACTCAGATGAGCTTGTAATGTCATTAAGGTGTTTAATTTAGCGAAAGATATGCAGGAAATTAATGCAAGCCTGATGTCCGGAATCTGTCCGTAAAACCTGTGCCAGCTGTTGCTACTCATGGAATCCCAGACTGGTTTGGGTTGGGAGGCACCTTAAAGATCATCCAGGTCCACCCCTTGCTGTAGATTAGACCGTGTTGCTCCAAGTCCCATCCAACATGGCCTTGGACAATTTCAGGAATGGGGCAGCCACAGCTTCTCTGGGCAACCTGTGGCAGTGCCTCATCACCCTCACAGGAGAGAATTTCTTCCCAACATCCCGTCTAACCCTGCCCTCTGGCAGTGGGAAGCCATTCCCATTTGTTATGTCATTCCTTTTCTGGTAATCTTGTGTTTATTTATCGTAATAATATCTGTAGTGACTCTTCTTTTCCCTGATGTCTCATTATCATAATTTCCGTGTAAAACATAACACCTCTGACATTTCTGTCACTTGAACCAAAAAGTGTTAATTGTGACCATGAGACTGACCTGAAACTGTTCCTGATTTTCACAGATATGGGTGTGCTTGTCCTGGAGGTCCTGACCAAGCTTGACCACCTCCCCATTGGCAGGGTGCAGATCACCAAACTGTCCCAGCTCTCTCCGAGCCATCCCATCAAAGGGTCTTTCCCCTTGGTGTCACCAACATCTGCTAAACTTGGAGAGCTGCAGGTGGTCCTGATGTCTTTTGCTCTTTGTTATAAGTTATTGTGTGTGTAATCAGGTGGCAGGATCAAGCTGTACATGGCACACTGCAGACCTGCTCTCTGTCCAAGGCATTTCTGAGCTAAGGTAGCAAATGAAAAATAAATATTGGTGGGTTTGACTCTATTTTGTTTGGAGGGGTGTGTTGTAGTTCAACTTGATAAAGAAAATGTCGTCTGTACACTGAGAGTGAGTTTTAACAGGGGATTTAAAAATGGACCCTCAGTTCTAACACTTCACTGGGCTGGAATTGTAGGAGGTTTTGAAATCTGGAATGAGGAAAGTTCTGTCCTGCAGCCCTGGCTCTGGAGAATTGATGATGAAAGATAATTGTCTGGGATTGGAAAACATGGAGTGGGAAACAAGTGGTTATAAATCAGTCAGAGTCATGCAAAATGTAAATATTCCTTTATGTGGAAGAGCAACAGTTTTTCCTGGCACGACAAGTAAAGTTGAATACAGTACGTGCTGCACTTAGCTAAGGAAAGAACAAAGTCGTATTTTCACCTTCTGTCTTTCAGGTCTCGCTGGCTCTGGAACCTCTGCCAGAAGTGTACGACACCAGCACCACCACAGAGGGGAGTTCAGACCCTGCTCCTGCTCAGGGAAGCAGCAAGTCCCAGCTTACTGCTCCATGCCAGCAGCCCAGGCACACACAGGTGGCTGTTGCTGACCCAGAGTCTGTTGACGACAGCAAAGCCACAAGCCCCAGGTACTCTTTTTTTTTTTTTTGGTCCCGTTACAAAATTCTGGTTTATTTTGCAGTTCACACACATTTTTTTGGTAATAACTATGCATTTGTGAGTTATGGAATGCTTGATAATTTTGTACACGTTACGTTGCATGAAATCCAGACTGTTGAAGGTTTCTGAGCTTACAGGGGCAGTTTGTCATCCGGCAGAAATTCACGTCCTATGTTGACTCAGTTCAAGCCGTGCTGGTTCACACAAGAGGTGCAGCAAATCACAGAATGGTTTGGGTTGGGAGGAACTTAAAGCTCATCCAGTTCCACCCCCTGCCAAGGGCAGGGGCACCTTCCACTAGACCACATTGCTCCAAGCCCTGTCCAACCTGACCTTGAACACTTCCAGGGATGGGGCAGCCACAGCTTCTCTGGGCAACCTGTGCCAGGGGCTCACCACCCTCACAGGGAGGAATTACCTCCTCATGTCTAATCTAAACCTACTCTCTGTCAGTTTGAATCCATTCCCCCTTGTCCTGTCACTACATGCTTTTGCAAAAAGATCTTTTAAAAAGATGTATTTTACTTGCAGCTTGAGTTGGGCCTCTCTTATGGTCTAAGTGGAAGGTGAGGAGTCATGAAAATAACATTACATTTCTTCTTGGAGCATTTGAAGAGTCTGGAATCTCTTTACCCATCCATTTGCGTTGTTACTGAAATAACATTTCATTTTTCACTAGAGGAAAGGACTGTTTGCTCTTCCAAGAGAACTCTGAAAACATGAAAGACACTTCTCCTGCTTCTCACCACCCTGGGATTTTACCAGATGAGCCTTGGAAAATAAATCCTTCAAATCCTTCCCTGTTGTTTCCCACCAGCACCAGTGCTGGAATGAACACACGGATGCTCTCCATGCACAGCCCAGCTACAAAAGACCTGCTGTCAGGTTTGTGTGCAACTGGCATCATCTTTGATGTTCACAACAAACAGCACTTGATGATATTTCCAGTGCTTCTCCAGAGCTGAGATTTTCTGAAGGCGAAGGGATCCTTCACACCCTTTCACTGTGTTATATCAAAGATAATTTTTATATTATTTACTTTACCTAAAAACTACTGATCTAGTCTTGTTGGAAGGTGACTGGAATACCCAGCTCAGGGAAAACATGGTGGCCCAGCAGGATTCCTGAGCCTGGAGGGATGAAAAGAAAAGGAAACTCACCTTCACAGGTTCTTTAGTCTTGGAGGTGTCTTTTGAAGTGACCCTCAGAGCTGCTGCTCCTGTTGAGGGTGGACTTGGGAGGGTTCCAATTCTGTTGGCATTTTCAGGTGGAGAACTATTTTCATTCTTTTTAGACCACAGGCTGCCTGGACTGGATTGAAATGAGCATCAGAGTAGGACACATTTCCCTATGTGCTGTGTTTTGTGCTTCATATTCACAGAAAAGACCTAAAATTAGACACTGTAAGGTGACAAACTACTCCTCCCTAAATTAGTTTGGCTTCTGTATCCTAATAATGCCTTTCCACTGCCCAACTTGGTGTGTGTGGGTGAGTTGTTTTTACGGCTCTGAGTGGGAAACTGGTGCAGGATCACTCTCACTGAGCTGCTTTTTGGTGTATCAGACATGTTTAGTCCCCAGGGTGTTAAGATCTTTTTATAACAGCAGAAAACAGAAGTTTCTTGACTGTCACCGACACATTTATTGCCTTTATGTGTTGCTTTCAAATCCCATTTGACCGCTGAAATATAAATCCCTCTGCTTGTTTCCCAGCTCTCCTGGATCAGGGCAGGAAACTCCGGGATGCCATGGTTGTCTCTGCACTGAAATCCAGCCCTGACATGGAGATTGAGCTGAATAAAGGGGCTCCATTTGTAGAGAGAGAGGATTTTAAAGCATCAACAAAGTGAGCTTGGAATGGGGGGAAGTGAGATTTAAGTTCCAGACTATATATTTTAGGCCTTATCAGGAAAACTTGAAATGCTCCTATTCGTGGGATGTGTTGTAGGATTCTCATTCAAATGGGGAGTTAAATTCTACCTGTGAATAAAACCTACATTTTGTGAATTTATTTTGATCTTCAAGTAGTAAGCCTTGATTTTAATTCTGCTTTGTAGTATGTTTGTATTTAGTTGATAAGGAAATATTGATAAGAAATATTAAATAGTGATAAGGAAATATTATTGATATTATATTAT